ATACTGCCACTGCGCAAAGCTAGTGAAAATGCTCCCTGTGCATCATCCCGAATAAGCAAGATTCCTATTTCAAAAAAACGAGTTTGCGTCTAATGGAAAAACCTTTCATTACTGTTTGGAAGAAAATTACACAACCATATAAGATTTCTCGGAAACACACTGGCTCTTTCAGAAGCGTTCTTGTTTTATTTCACTTACCTAGATTTTGGTGGAGAATGAAGCAAAGCATTATGGGAGGAAGCATGCTAATAACCTAATGCAGAATATGAATTGGAGCAGATGAAACATGTGCTCAATGTCAGTGTACTGTTCACTTGACTCCCAATTCACGGTGTAACTAGCTTCTCCAAAATAAGTTGTTTTATTATGGTAAAATATACACAACATAAAATTTACCATTTTAACCATTTTTAAGTGTACGGTTCAGTAGCACCAAGTACATTTACATTGTTTGCAACCATTAGTACTCTACAGCTCCAGAAATTTTTCATCATTCCAAACTAAAACTTTACCATTTAAACATTAACTCTCCAGGTCCCCAGGCCCTGGCAACCTCTAATTCTTTCTATCTCAATGAATTTGATTCTAAGTACCTCACACAAGTATCCAATATTTGACCTTTTGTTTCTAGCTTGTTTCATAACAATGTTTCTTTTTAAGATTTCATTTATTTTTAGAGAGAGGGGAAGGGAGGGAGGAAGAGAGGGAGAGAAACATCAACGTGTGGTTGCCTCTCGCGTGCCCCCGCCCCCATCAGGGACCTATCCTGCAACCCAGGCATGTGCTCTTACTGAGCACGGCACCGGTGACCCTTTCATTCACGGACCGGTGCTCAATCCACTGAGCCACACCAGCCCCGTGAACACTGGCACACCAGTACCAGTGTGAGTCCTTATTTTCAATTCTTTTTTGTGTACACCCAGAAGGGGAGCGTCTGGCTCATATACTGATTCTGTGTAACTCTCGCTCTCACAGCCTGTGTTCTCTGCAAGAGGACAGCTGTTGGAAACCACTGTATGGTTTTGTTTCATCCCTGAACTATATTCTCCAAGATACTTTTGGTTTCTGCTACTCATTAAGATGCAAATAGTAGACCCTGAGAAAGCAACATTCTCCTGAAATTTTTTTTTTTTTAAATAAAAAAACTTCAAACAGCCCTGGCTGGGTAGTTAAACCAGTTAAAGCACTGCCCGGATTTGCCAAGGTTGTGGGTTCAATTTCTTGACAGGGTCCAAGAATCGACCAATGAATGCATGAATAAGTGGAACAACAAATCGATGTCTGTCTCTCTCAAATCAATAAATTTTTTAAAATTAAAAAAAAAAAGAATCAACCAGTGAATGAGTGGAACAAATTGATGTTTTTCTTTCTCTCCCTAATCAGGCAATAATTTTTAAACAAATAGAAAAATTTCAAACATGAAATATTTAAAGCATTGCTCAGTGAATGATATTCATGTACTGGGCATCTAGATGCAAAAATGAACATTTTTAAAAGGTCTGTGTGATGCTGATGTGGTTTATATTTTTCCCCAGCTGTCAGTACCAGAGTACAAAAACCAGCAGAAAAAAAGAAAACACTAACAATCTACTTAATTTAGATTTTATTTTATTTATTTATTTATTTATTTTTAGAGAGAAGGGAAGGGAAGGAGAGAGAGAGAGAAACACCATTGTATGAGAGATACATTGATCCGTTGCTTCTCACACGCCCCCAGCCGGGGACCTGGCCCTTCACCCAGGCGCGTGGCCTGACTGGGAATCAAACCAGCTTCAGTTTATAGGCCAGTGCTCAACCCACTGAGCCACACCAGCCAGGGCAGATTAATTTACTTTTTAATTTTTTTACTTTATTTCTCACCTGAGGGTATGTTTATTGACTTTGGAGAGAGAGGAAGTCGGGGAGGGGGAGACATCGCATCCATGTGAGAGAGAAACATCAAGGTTGCCTCCTTTATGCTCCCCATGGAGCCCACCACCTACATGTGTGCCCTGACCAGGGATCAGATCCACAAACTTCCGATGTGCAGGGCCACGCTCCAACCAACTGAGCCACCCAGCCAGGGCTTACATTTTAAAAAATTAATTGATCTTAGAGAGACAGAGAGGAGACACACATCAATTTGTTATTCCACTTACTTATGCATTCATCATATGTGCCCTGACCAGAGATGGAGCCCGTGTCCTTGGCGCATGGGGACGACACTTAACTGAGCTACCCAGCCAGGACTAAATTAATTTTCTTTGATACAAACAAGGACTTAAGTCATTAATTCCTGATGTGGTGGAGTTGTGGGAAATAAAAATACTAGGGTTATTCAAAGAACTTAGCCCTTAAGAATGTCTTGATTAGGTGGCTCATTGCATCCTGTCAGTGGCTACAAGGGAAACTGTGTGTTTCACCAGCTGTCCTGGATGACCTCCTCCTCCGCAGGTGACTGTGAGAAGAATGGAAAACTCAACTAACTTCTCTACAGAACATGAGATTCTTTGGGGCCTGAAAGCCCAATGGTTGTGTATTCCTAGCCAGTTTCTATTAACGATGCTCATTTCACTTGGAGAACTAAAAAAACAAAACAAAACATGAGCTTGAAATCTTTCATAATAAAATTCGGCTGGGGTTAAAGTCTTTCATAATAAAATTAGGCTGGGGTGGGAGGAATGTCACTTTGGGGCATTCCATGGCTTTGATCAAACACTCACGCGTGCAGGAAACGTTTTGGATGACAACTGCTTTGACCTAGTAAAAGTTTCCAGCCTACATTTTGGCCCGTCCTTTCAGCCAGTGTGGACAGGTTAAAGAAGGTACAAAAGGCTGCCATGTCAGGTGGTTCTCCCAGCTGCAGGGACCTATCCGAGCTGTTGCTGAAGACACTGCTCTCAAACGACTAAGCTGTTACTTTGCCAATATTTACCTCCATACCTTTCATGAGGACCAGGAATCAGACCCCAACTCCAGCCTTCATACTGTTCCTCTGGGCTTCAGCTCATCATTGACTGGGGGAAGTGGGTCCCAAGGTGATCTTCAAGTCTCTGCTAGCTGCCCTTTGATCATGTTCTAAAACACTTACAAACTGATCCACATCTCATTTAGGTGATGCTACAGAGCTCCGGTTCTCACAGGCTACACATTAGAAACAACTACTAAGTTTGTAAACCGACTTGATGCCCAGGCGTCTCCCCAGATCAATTAAACGTCTCTGGTGGTGAAAACCAGGCGTTGTGTTGGTTACTTGAGCAGCAATAAAAAAATACAAGACAGAAAATAGCATTGGAGAAGTCAAGTGGGTAAACATGTTAGTTCCTATATATTGGATTTGACTTTAATTGTTCATTAATATGTAAAAACATCAGTTTTTCAAGTACTTGGGAATATACTTCTTGACAACCCACAGCAAGGTGGGAACTTGATTCTGTCACAGTGAGTGGAAAGGATCATTAACACTGAACTTGAGAGTGAATCAAATCTAAAACCATTATTAAGGCTCCTATTTTGAGAGAGAATGAACTCCCTAGAGCAGTTTAGGGTACGATTTTGCCCTGAGGACATTGGTGTGATACTCCAAATACTTCTCAGAGAAGACAATGTACTAGCTTAGGTAAGCACCTCCGATCAAGGTTCAAAACCTCTGACCAGGAAAAGCTCACAGAAGGGCACGACTGTGAAACCTGGAGAATTGTGGGACTTGTAGTTTTTCTTCCATTATTTCGGCTTTGTAAACTACATTTCCCAGAATGCAAATATAGCCAGTTAGTCCCAACTGTCCGGCTTTGCTGCGTCCCTTACGCTGCTGTGAAAGGTAAGTGTGCTCTGTGTGGGCTGCGGGTTTCTAGAAGTTGTGAAGTTCTTGTAAGATATTCCATTCCTCCCTTTTGCCCTTTGGTGGGATCTGGGAGAGAGCCATTCTTCTAACAGAGCCTGTTTGCAGAGGGGTTTCCCAAGCCCTTTGGTCTCAGGAATTAGGACTCTGTATTTGTTTAACTGTTCGCATGTTGCTGTGGAATGTCAAGGAGAAACCAGGTCCTGAACCTAGATCTAGAAATGCAAGCATAAAATAATGTCTACCTTTGGGGTGCGTGTCGCTACAGAATTTCTGCACTCTATCACGTAATACCAAAGCCTTGTTTTTTACAGCCAGAAAGCAGACACGCAAGGGTAAAACATCTCGCCAGGTCTAACTACTGCTTGCTGTGTGCAAGTAGCAGTTAGAAATTGAGGGTAAACGAAAAGCATATGAGAATAAAGAAAAGTGTGTAGGTGCTTAATATACTAGTAAAGTAAAAAGCCAGAACAGTCTGAGCAACAACCTCATCAACACCTGGTATACTAGAACTCAAACGTGCTTCCCTTAGCTTATGAAGAAATAAGACAATTCTAATATATAAAGTGGGATGTAGGTTTATGGAACACAGAGTTCCCCAAGGAACAGTATGAACTAAAATACTCATGTAAATATATTCCTCTAACATTAAAAAATTAGTAAGCCCTAGCTGGCACAGCTTAGTGGGTTAAGTGCCGGCTGCAAACCGAGGGGTCGCTGGTTCAGTTCCCAGTCAGGGCACATGTCTGGGTTGTGGGCCAGGTCCCCAGTGGGGGCCACATATTTGATATTGATATTTCTGTTCCCCTCTCCCTCCCCCTCTCTAGAAATAAAATCTTAAAAAAATAATTAATAGTAATTTCTTAATACCAAACACCCAATTAAATTTTCCAATTGACTCATAACTGTCATTTTAAAAGTTTATTTGGCTCAGGACTCGAATAAGGCCTACATACTATTATAGTCTTTTAATCTATATAATGCCCCCCCCTTGTATCTCTGTATCTCTAACTCTTGCAATTTATTTGTTGGGAAAAACTGATTTGTCTGTCCTGTCCAGTTTCCCATAGTCTGGACTTTGCTGATTGACAAATGGTATCACCTAAGGTCTAGAGACTTCATCAGAGCCAAGGTTAATTTTATTTTTTTGCCAACATCACAACATGGGTAGTGCTGTGCCCTTCCAAGAGGGTCATCATTCTGTTCTCTTTTGTAATGTTGATGCTCAGTGCCTAGACCCTACCTTTGTTTTTCAGCTATAAAAATGAAGTTCTGAGACAGGCTCCTTCCCTCCAGCTCCTGTAACTACTGATCTTTCTGTCTATATGGATTTGCCAATTCTGGACATTTTTATGTAAGTGTAAACGTATGATTTTGTCCTTTTGCCACGGATGGGCTTCTTACACCTACTGTCTTCAGTGTTTCTCCGTACTGTACTATGTATCAGAGCTTCATTCATTTTTATAGCTAAATAACATTCCATTGTGTAGACAGACCACATTTTATCTGTTCATCAATTTACTACCTTTGGTTTTTTAAAAGATTTTATTGATTTTTAGAGAGAGGGGAAGGGAGGAAGAAAGAGAGGAAGAGAAACACCAATGTGTGGTTGGCTCTTATGGGACCCCTACCAGGAACCTGGCCTGCAACCCAAGCACATGCCCCAACTGGGAATCGAACCTGTGACACCTTGGTTCACAGGCCCGCACTCAATCCACTGAGCTACACCGGTTAGGGCTACCTTTGCTTTTAAAAAAGTTTTTAAAACAACTTAAGAAACTGGGGGGAAAAAAAGCCAGTTTCTAAAAAACAACAACCCCCAAGCTCACAGGAACAGACTGATGGTTGCCAAAGGCCAGGGTGTGGTGGGATGGGTAAAAGTGGTCAAAGGTACAAAATTCTATTTATGAAATAAACAAGCCATGGGGATGTACTGTACTGCATGGTGGCTACAGTTAACAATACTGTATTGCATATTTGAAAGTTGCTAAGAGGGCAGATCTTTGAATTCTTCATCGTGAGACATAAAAAATCCTGTAACTGTGTGTGGTGACAGATGTAACTGGACTTACTGTGGTGATCATTTCACAACATCTACAAATACCGAATCATTATGTTGTGCACCTGAAACTAGTGTGTTGCATATACATTACACATGAATACCTGGAACCTGCATGTTGCATGTCAATTATAGTAAATAAATAGATTTTTCACATGAGGTTCCTTTCTCTCCAGAATGAGGATGAACTTGGGGTTGACCTTCAGGGCGGCAACAGGCTGCTGGAAGATGAACCTCAGCCAACAGTGCTCACGTGGACCCGTGGGGTTATTTGTGCCCCCAAGTCCTCCCGTGGACCCCGAGAAGGTTAAAGAGCTACAACGCTTCATCACGCTTTCCAGGAGAGTCCTGGTGATGACAGGGGCAGGAATCTCCACCGAGTCAGGGATCCCAGACTACAGGTCTGAAAGGGTGGGACTTTATGCCCGCACGGACCGGAGGCCCATCCAGCACCGGGATTTTGTGCGGAGTGCGGCAGTGCGCCAGCGATACTGGGCGAGAAACTTTGTGGGCTGGCCTCAGTTCTCCTCTCATCAGCCTAACCCCGCACACTGGGCCTTGAGCAACTGGGAGAGACGCGGAAAGCTGTACTGGTTGGTGACCCAAAACGTGGACGCCCTGCACACCAAGGCGGGGAGCCAGCGCCTGACAGAGCTCCACGGATGCATGCACAGGTGCAGGAAGGTCTGGACGGTGTGAGTGCGCAAATGTGGGCTCCGTACGGCAGGGGCCTTGGCTGTCTTGGTCACTGCTGCCTTCCTTAGACCTTGGGAGAAGGGTTTGGGAGCAAGCTGTTTAATTTGCTCTCAGCCAACTCAGTGAGCGAGTGGGAAAGGAAGGAAAGCCCAGAAAGGTACAGTAATGAATGGGTCACTGCATTGGGCGGCCGCTCAAACCAGCGAGGGGCCCTCTATCTATGGCACACTTCAAATTCTCACTGAACACCCAGGATGCTGGGGTGTTTACCCACCGTCTCCCATCCCTCACCGGTCAGGGATCAATCTTGGGGAATTAACTCCCTAACAGACTCTGCTCCTCCAGAGGCAGCTTCTGTTGCCACAGGAAGCTGCTTAGAAGAGGACTGTGGGCAGCAGCCTCTAGCGGTCCTGAGGGGACTGCCAGCAGAGCCCCACAGCAGATGCTACAAACTGTGCATCTCTGGTGCGCAGACACGTAGACAGTACAGTAAGCACACGGAGCCCCGCAAACAGTGCTGGAAGGAACACGTGGAGCCCTGGCAATAATGCATAGCTAGCTGGAGACCACTTCCTTACCTGTAAGCCCCAGAGGTCCTCCTGTGAACCGTAAAGTATTTATTGGGTGCCTACTACCTGTGGTGTGTGGTGGTGTACTACCTGGCGTGGAGGGATCATAACCTGAGTATAAAACCTGGTCTACTTTATATTTGAGAACTTTGTAATCTGCTTGAGGGTGACCCAAAAATAACATGTTCAACGACAAACAACTCCACACATGATTATTGAATTGGGTGGTCCTTGATAGACATGCTTTACGAGTTTAGAGAAACAGATTTAGTAAAGATTGGAGAAATTGGGAGCTTTTATGGGTAAGGTAAAGCTTGGGACCAGCTCAGATTTGACTGGGCAAAGGAGGGGGAAAAGAGCTTTCTAAATGAAAGAAATTTGTAGAGCCCAGAAGAGACTTGTGGGGAGACTAGTATGAAATCAGATGTCTGGGAAATCAGATGTCTAGCCCCAACTCATGGGTGCACCCGAAAATCTCGCAGTGCAATCTGGGGCTGCTGTGAGACCTACGGGGAGTATTAGCGGTTTCTGAGCGAGGAAGCAGCATGATAAAAATAACATTGGGGAAGGTGACACAAGGTTAGAAAGGGGCCCAGGGTCAGCCTGAAGGACTCAGATTAAGGAGACAGCAAGGGAATGACAGAACTAATGATGGCTAGGCATCCATTTAAAAAGCCTCCCCCCCCCAAATCTTTCCCATTTCAAACATCCACAAAAATAAAGAGAATACTATAATGAACTCCCATATACCACTACCCAGATTCAAAGATTTTACATGGCTACTTATCCTTTCTCTCCATTTCTGCTTAAATATTTTAAAGCAGGTCCAACTGCTTATCATTGCAGAGGAGGCCTTTTAAATAAAAAAAAATCAATGAAACCCAATGGCTGAATAGATATAAATGGAGAAAAAGAGTAACAAGTCTTCCCCAAGGGTTTCAGCCCAAGTAACTGGACAAATGACAGTGATAGAGAAGTTGGGGGGGGGGGTGTTGCACAGGTGGTTGAAGACAGAAGGTGAACCTAACAGGTCCGTCAAGAAGCTTTGGAACCGGCCCTGACCTGTGTGGCTCAGTGGATTGCGCATCACTTCCCGTGAAGCGAAAGGTCGCTGGTTCGATTCTGGTTGGGGCCCAAGCCTGGGTTGTGCGTTCGGTCCCAGGTCTGGTGCGTATAAGCAGCAACCAATCGATGATCGATGATTCTCTCTCACATGGACGTCTCTCCCCCTTCCCCTCTAAAAATAAATAAACAAAATCTTTTTTTAAAAAAGATTTGGAATTGAACTGCAGTTTGGGAGAGAGGGCAGGAGTGGAGTCCTACACAGAGGAGGAAACCGTGAGCGCAGAAGCATCGAGGCGGTAAAAACAGAGTTGCTGGGAACGTAGCAGGGAGAGAGGCGGGAGGATCGAGCAGCAGAGGAGGCACCAACCAGACCACGTTTGTTCTTTCTCTCAACAGCTCTTCCTTGGGAAGTGCTCTAGGTGATGGGCACAGGGCAGTGGTCATGAGCAGTGGTCTTGCCAAAAGAGGCCAAGGCCCAAAGTTCCTGACCTCACAGAGTCCATGTTCTGGTTACTAGAGAGGTGACAAGAAGACACCATGTCATAGGCACTAAAGGGAGACTGTTTTTAAAGAAAGGATGGTGACGATGGCCACACAGCAGATGAGGACAGCAGGGAACGGAGGGAAAGGCTGGTTTGGGCACTGAGGCAATCATCTGGTGAGGAAGTGACTGTCATGCTGAGGATAAGAATAAGCTGGCAGAAGGCAAAGTAGGGGTTGTTTGGTTAGGAAACAGACGTACATGTTCTAGAAGGTTGGCGGTGGAAGGAAGGTGAGAAATGGGGTGGCTAAAGAAGTCACGAGAAGCTGTTCCTAAAACTGGGTGACAGGGAAGGGGAGTGAGGACGGAGGGGCTCGGAGCAGTTGGGATGAACTATCTTTGGCAGTCACGTGCCTCCCCCGGACAGACCACTCAGTGGGCCTCCTCTTTGGTTTCAGGGTCCTCTGCTTGGACTGTGGTGAACAGACTCTGCGTGGGGTGCTGCAGGAGCGCTTTGCGGCCCTGAACCCCACCTGGAGTGCTGAGGCCCACGGCCTGGCTCCTGACGGCGACGTCTTTCTCACAGAGGAGCAGGTGCGGAGCTTTCAGGTCCCATCCTGCGCTCGATGTGGGGGCCGCCTGAAACCAGATGTCGTTTTCTTCGGGGACACAGTGAACCGCGACAAGGTCGACTTTGTGCACAGGCGCGTCAAAGAGGCCGACTCCCTCTTGGTGGTGGGATCATCCTTGCAGGTATCCACCTTGGTCAGGGTGGCGGCTGTCCCCCTTGCCAGCCTTTCCCAGGCTCTCTGTCAGGTCCATCCCTTCCTGCATCTACAGATCTCTTACCTGTGCCTTCTCCTTGTACAGGTGTACTCTGGTTACAGGTTTATCCTCACTGCCCAGGAAGAGAAGTTACCAATTGCAATACTGAACATTGGGCCCACTAGGTCGGACCACCTGGCATGTCTAAAGCTGGATTCTCGCTGTGGGGAGCTGCTGCCTCTGATAGACCCACACTGACCACAGCCTGAGCCAGACGGTGGGACCTGCATTCGCATCCTGCTGCTGAAGGTAAATCCCTTCTCAGATGTCAAGATCCCATTCCCCTTCGTCTGAGTCTGAAAGCACTGACAAAGTGTACAAGGCTCCAGGCTCCTTAATGTGTGGCCATTCGTAATTTACCTTAAGCTGTACTGTTTGGAAGCCTAAATTCGAGGCACATAGCTATTTAAAACTATGTTCCAAAATCCGTGGTAACTTTTCAACTTTTCTCCATTTAAAAAAATAACAGCTTTATTGGGATATAATAAATTTCACCCTTTAAAAGTATACAATGAACTGTTTTTAGTATACTCAGGAAGTTGTACATGAATTACCACTACCGAATTTCAGAACATTTTCACCATCCCAAGAAGAAATCTTGTACCCACTAGCAGCCATTTTCCACCCCCCACTGTCATTGCCGCTGACTTCCTGGCAACAACTAATCTCTCTGTTCCTGCCCGTCCTAGACATTTCTTATGGTATGTATGTAGCCTTTTGTGTCTGGCTTCTCCACTTAATGTTCTGAAGGTTCATCCACATGGTGGTGTGTGTGAGTGCTTTGTATCTACTTTATGTAGACAGCTTTACCGAAACCAAACTCATATCATACAGTTCATTCATTTAACGGGTACAGTTTGTTTTTAGTATATTCCTAGTAGAATACCGCCACTTTTTTTACAGACTACTTTTTAGAGCAGTTTTAGGTTCACAGAACTGAGCAGGAGGCAGAGTTTCCATTTACCACTTGCCTCGTGCACTCACACAGCAGTTCTCGTTCACCCACTGAGGGACATCTTAGTTGCTTCCCATTTTTTGTCAATTATAAATAAAGCTGCTATAAACATCTGTGTGCAGGTTTTTGTGTGGACAAAAATCTTCAGCTCATTTGGGTGAGTGCCAAGCAGTAAGACTGTTGGATCATATGGTAAAAGTATGTTTCATTTTGTAAGAAACTGTCCAACTGTCTTCCAAAGTGGCTGCACCACCTGCATTCCTACCAACAATGAATGAGAGTTCCTGTAACAGCCCCTTTTAAAAATTGGGGTTTTTTTTAAAGATTTTATTTATTTATCTTTAGATGGGAAGGGAAGGAGAGACGGAGAGAAGTATCAATGTATGGTTGCCTCTCATGCATCCCCTGCTGGGAACTGGACTGCAACCCAGGCATGTGCCCTGACTGGGAATGGAACCACAATTGTCTGGTTTGCAGGCCTGTGCTCAATCCACTGAGCGACACCAGCCAGGTTAAAAACTATTTTAACCATGCCGTGGCTGGTGTGGCTCAGTGGACTGAGTGCCAGGCTGCAAACCAAGGGGTTGCCGGTTTGATTCCCAGTCAAGGTACATGCCTGGGTTGTGGGCCAGGCCCCTGGTGAGGGGTACACAAGAGGCAACCACATGTTGATGTTTCTCTTCCCCCCTCTCTCTCCCTTTCTTCTCCTCTCTCTAAAACCAAGTAAATAAAAATCTTTTAAAAATGTAAAAAATTATTTTAATTCAATTATATATACAGAGAAGTGCACATCTAAGCAGGTAGCTTGATGAAGACCTAACTCCTACAGCATCTAGATCAAGAAACAGAACATTACTAGCACCAAGAAGTTCCCTTGGCACAAGCGCTTTTTAACTAGTTTCTTAGACTTATTGCAGAAGTTTAGATGATGCAGATAAGTAAAAAGAATACAAATTACCCATAACCTCACCACTGAGATGACCAAAGTTGAACATTCTGGTATAACTAAATCTGTTTTTACAAATAGTGAATCATAGTGTTTTATTCTACCCTATCATATAGTTGCCATATTTATGTGTCTTAAAAGCTGTACGTTTTTTAATGGTAGGCTGATGTTCCCAATCACTTCCCCTACCCTACTCTTGGCTTATCTCGGCAGGAATTTGTTTTATTTCTTTTCAGATCCCCAAGGATTCATCCTTCCTCCCTCTAACTAATCCAAGTTCAGAGTGCAGCCTGTAGAGGGCAGCAAACCAACGTCTCTGCCAGCCGGTCTCCTAACCTGCAGTTTCAGAGCCAAAGAGTTGAGATCTTCAGGCTGATGAGATTTGCCCCTGAAGAAAGACTTTTTCCAAGCAGCAGCTTCTCCTGATAGGAAAACTGCTAAACTGCCTTCACTTCCTTTTTATCTCATCAGGCAGAAGAAATGGCCCAAGAAATATGTAGGTCAGAATGGTCTTCAGAGTAATAACCCAGAGATCGCACTGTGTGTGGAGGTGTGGACAGCGGGGAGTAAGGGGGGAGGAAATGACTTAATTTATAATTCTAAATGGTTAGATGCATTTAGTGGAACCATTTTGGTTTATTTCCTGAAAAGATGAACTATGTTATGAATGAATTTATTAACCAAGGAATAAAGGAATCCTTTTAAAAAATAGCACACCAGTTGTGGGCTGTATGTTTGTATCTTTTAATCGGCTAAAAGCAAATAGGAGTTTGTGACGTGGTTCTCTAAGGATTTCTGCTTCGTTTCAGCCAGAATGAGACACCTGCCTTGAACCTGGTCTATAGAGAGGAAACAGTGACTTCCCAAGTGGGATCTTAAATTGATTTGTTTCTGCTGGGGAAAGCAGGAAGCCTTGGGTGAATGCTGCGTTAGCCAGAAAGAATCATTGTACCCCGGCTAAAGCTTTCTGCACAATCTCATCAAAAAGTGAAGCGGATGAAAGGATCACAGCCTATTCTGTGATTGTGGTCTTTTGTCTACAACTAGGGCAAGCAATACATGTTCATTCTGCACCTGCCTAGAAAGCAGATTTCAGTTAACTGGGAAAAGCCAAGATCTTGAAAACACAAAGAGTTCTTTTTCACCTGCACAGCTGTAGGTTCGCCCACAGCCATTAATTAATTCTGAAGAGGTGTAAGGTTGTTGTAAATCTCATTCCAGTTTTTTTTTTGCAAATGGAGATCCTTTTGAGCCCGATTTGCTCAATTATCCAGAGTCAATACCAATAATTGTATTCCATCTGCGTCTTTTGAATCTCAAGCCATTCTTGTCCACAAATCTCATGAATGGTTACAGACAGGCACTACATTAAGATACAAAGGCTACAAAGATACAACTTCCTGATCTCAAGTGGCTCACGGAGGATATGCTATTTCCCCCACCCTTATTCTCTAAAAGGAAATGACAGAGTCACACAAAGATTGACAGGATAGGAAATCCATCCCCCATTCCTTTTTGAGGAAATTAAGACCCAGACTTACCGAAGGACACAGTACACAGATTCAGAGCCAGGACTGGAATCCAAGTAGATTTTCTTCCCAGTTCTTTTTAAACAATGCTTCTCATTTGAAGATGACAGTTAGAAAGAAGTCAGCCTGGAGTAGGAGTAGGAGCAGAAGCCGGCCGCATACCTGACCGAAGAGACCAGAAATGGTTAAATGTGGGCAGTGGGGGGTGAGGTTGCAGGGAGAGGAGGCAGGCTCTTTCATCACCGAATGTTGGCACAATGCGAGAAACCAAGTCTCGCGGGCCTCAGGAATGTTCCTTTTTTCCCCTCATATGTCTTCCTGAGATGGAATTCTCTCCATAAAATTTGTTTCAAGAGGAACTTGACTGTTTCCTGAAGGGTCTCTATACTTCACATCTCTAGCTTCCCACCAGCATGGCATTCCTAACCCACTCCAAGGGCCCTTGGTTGGAATGACAAACACCTTCTAAGGGGCAGTATCAGGTTGTCACTGCCCTGGTTACCTGGTTCCCATTGCATAAGCCCGGCTGTGGACATGACTTTGGTCATACTCCCCCTCAGCTGCCTCCACGGTTCTGCTCTGCTACCACCATTTTACTACGTAGGAGTCACCAAGGCAAATCGGGATACATAACACTTGAAAGGCCCTTGCCACTAACTCATGTTTTCTTTCTTATGCTGTCATAAGTTGAATATCCTTTTCTCGCTTGTCCCTTAAATCGCACTACTGAGCACACGTCCCAAGCACCATGAGAAGCATTTTACAATCCGTTAGCTCAGTAAGAATTCACCTCGAAAGAGACGCTTGGGCATGAATACGGGTCTTCACTGAGTAGCGACCTCCTCCTGAGAGGATCAAAGGAAAGATAAGAAATTCAACACTCCTAGGTTGGGCGATCACCTGTCCCACATTGCCCTGTACTGACATGCAGGCCTTTCAGTGCTCAAACCAGGATGAGCCAGTCACCTGGCTGTTAGGAACAGCAGAGGCTGCCACCAGACATTGGTTGATTCCACACATTTTATCCTTGTCAAGATTCAAGATGGCACTCCAAGACCCAGATTAACTTTTTTCCCATAAATTCTACTTCATGAAAACAAAACAAATTAAACCTATGCACGAAAGGAGAGTGCCAATTTGTGAGAAAAGGAATAGAACAAAGAATTTAAACTCCTCGGGGACAGATGGACTTGGATTTCCATCCATGTCCTGCTACATACTAGTAGGCAGGCGAACTTGGGTGAATTGTTTTATCTAATCTTCAGTCTTTTTATAAACGAGGATAATAGTAGCTACCTCACTGGGTTATTCCGAAGACTAACAGGGTAACGAAGCGTGCGAAGCTCACAGCAGTGCCTGGCACACTGCAAACAAATGTCAGCCACTGTAATCCGAACGTGGGTGGAGGGCAGGATGGTGGAAAGGCGAGCCGCAAGACCTGCCAAACCTTTGTGCCCGAAGTGCTGTTTTAACTACACTCCCAGGAACCTTCCTCAGAGCCCTATTTCCTTTCTGCATCCCTGTTCTTTTTTTTTTTTCAAGATTTTATTTATTTGTCTTTAGAGGGGAAGGGAAGGAGGGAGAGAAATATCAATGTATGGTTGTGTCTGGTGCATCCCCTGCTGGGAACTGGCCTGCAACCCAGGCACGAGCCGACTGGGAATCGAACGGCAGTTCTTTGGTCCGCAGGCCCTCGCTCAATTCACTGAGCTACACCAGCCAGGGCTTTGTTTGTTTTTTTAAAACTACAAAAGTTTTGCTTGATGCAATAAAGCCTTTCTAAAGAAAATAAAAAGTGATTATCCTTCCTTCTCCACTCCCTTGGGAAAACAACTTTTATTAAACATTACTACACAACCAACATTGTATGAAGCATTTTACAACTCATTGCTTCACCTACCGTGATTCCTACAGCCTACCCTACCCTACCTATAATCCTACACACTATTATTTCTTTTGAAAGATGATGATCCTTGCCCAAATGTCACTTAGGGTGACCAGGTCCGTGCAGCTCTGGGCTCGCTCTCCCTCTTTAACGCATGAGAAACCCGATGGGGTCACTGAGCAAACTCTACTTTGGGAGGGAAGAAAAGCAAGGCTCAAGAAACTTATAGAAGTGACCCAAGTTAGGTCCTGTAAGATGAACACGCATCCACCACACGGGAAAAGGAGAAGCAACCCAAACGGAGAGAACAGCAAATGCAAGCGTGGGGGTCAACCCTGCAAATCCCTTCACCTAAAAAAAAAAAAAAAAAAAAAAAAAATCCTGAAGGTGGGGGCGGGGATTCAAGTGTTCACTTGGGACGCTCCGGAGGCCCTTGACTCCGAGCACAAGCCACTCGCCTCTGTCCCGGGCCGTTCCTCCTTCTCGCCACTGATTCCCAGGACCCTACTTTCCCACCCCACCCCCACCTCCCCGGAATAAAAGCACAGACGTGCCCAAGTGGAATTTGGCAGGGGCCCTGAGAGAAGAGGGGCGTGTGCACAGGGCATGAGAACTCCAGACACGGACGAACACGGAGGGAACGCTAGGCTCAACGTCATACCCACGTGCGTTCGTCTTCTCGTCACACAGTCCCCACCCCGAACTCCGTTCTCGCACTGCCTCACCTCCCCTGGACGCCGCCTCACGCGACCCTTACCAACCACCGCGCCTGCGCCGGCGTAGACACCACACCCAGAGAGGCGGGGCTTGAGCTAGGGAGGCGCGAGGCAATCAGGGGACTCGCTTTTGTTAACAATGGAAAAAGGTAGCTCGGAGGTCACGTGCTCACAACGTGCCCAATCACCGTTTCATTCCGAAGTCCACCTGGTGGCCAGCCGATGGACGGGATTGGACGCAGAGGGCCACGTGATTCGAAGAGGTAAATACGGCCACGTGCTTTTTTTTTCCTCGATGTGGCGAATTGTACCTCCTTGTATCCTCGTTAAACGATTATTTAATAAGCGTGTGAGATGTGCTAATCTCTGTGGCCCCAAACACTATGATATAGTCCCAGGGTCAAATTGTTCTCTGTCCAGTATATTTGTTTATTCGTTTAAGTCATCCCAGAAGCTGTTCTAGTGTTTCCCGTTTCCTGTACTGAGCACTAAGCAGATGCTCATTGAGAGATTGTTAAGGGGATTTTCTCTTCTTGTCGCCTTCTCACCCTCTCTCCCGAGTATTTCAGTGCCAGTGTAGTCATGAATCCTAGCAGAGAAACTTGGTCGAGCAACTTAGTGGTGAAGAGCTCAGGCGTTGCCTTCAGGCAGATCTAGTGAAAATCCTGATTATGCCACATGTGTGATCCCAGGCAAGTGATTTCTCTGAGCTTTTAGAGTCTCGTGTATAAAATGGGGGCAATAATGTCTCAACCTCTCAGACCTGGTTTGAATAGTTAATGAGATGAGCTGTAGAATGCCCTTAGCACTGAGTGATATGCAGTAAATGTTCAAGAAGTAGAAGCTGTTATTTATTATGACTGCAATGTGAAAATCAGCTTGTAGAGTGTGGTGAAGTCTTTGAAAGGCTTAGAAAAGAATTGTAGGAAAACCTGTTTTCCGTAGTCGAAAATGGAGGCAGAGAAATCAGAGGAGGAGAGATTTGGTTCCAACTGCAACAAGAGCCACCTCTTCAGGCAGGTAGGCTAGTAGTTAAGAGTGTGTGCTCTCTTGGACTTCTTGGGTTCAAATCCCTTCTTTGCTACTAACTAGATGACTAGCACTGGGCAGGCAACCTTTCCTATTGAACCTTAACTTGGAAAGGTAGGATTTGCTAATAGTGTCAAAACTTCATGGGATATCCAGAGAATTTTGAGACATGCCATCCTCACACACAGTAAATACTCAGTGGTGGTTCATTGTTTGGGTCTCATGGTGCTCACATCCTGGACACATCCTGTGTGATTCAACTTCCAAGGCTGGAAGGAGTGATGCTCACAAAGGACTAGGAAGAGACTTAGTCATGTTTAGTAGCTAGAGAATAAATGAATTTCCAAACATGAAGCCTTTCAACAGCGTGCTTTACTGGAGCAATATAAAGGTGAAGTGGAAGGTGAAGGTCACAGGGATGATGCTTTAAAGGGGCAATACTTAGTTTTCACAGTACTTCTCATCCAGATTCTTGTACTTCTTGTTGTATGAGGCCTTTGAAAAGCAGATGGCAGCAGTGCGGTCACAGTTGCAGATGAAGGCCTGACATGGTTTGTTTTTGCCTGGAAAAGAGCAAGAGAACTGAGCCAAGTTGGATCTTGCTTTGCACAACCCACGGGCAGGAAAAACTAACTGGGATAATTCAGTCACTATTCCGTCAGTGCAAATTTAGGGTTGACAGATGAAGCAATTAAAATACCAGAATTTCAGATAAATAATGAATGCAGTGTTTGGGACATAAACTAAAAAATTGTTTATTGTTTACGTCAAAGTCAAATTTAACTGGGCAACCTGTGTTTCATCTTGTGGTCCTAGGTGTGAGTGCTGCCTTTTGAAAAGTCTATTTTGCGCCCCAAAATGAGCTCCCTGCTTATAAAACCCATAGAGCTGCAGATCTCCAATAACATAGGCAGGCAATTATAAACCATATGGAAAACACTAAACATACACTTACGGCAGCGAAGTATTTTACATTTCAACTTACTGAAGTTTAGTAAGCCGATTTTTCTACCTTAGAGCACATATTTAAAAAAATAGAGTCCTGGCTGGTGTAGCTCAGTGGGTTGGGAACAGGCCTGTAAACTAAAGGGTCTCCAGTTCGATTCTCAGTCAGGGCACATGCCTGGGTTGCAGGTCAAGGCCCCAGTAGGGGGCATGCAAGAGGCAACCACACATTGATGTTTCTCTCCCTCTCTTTCTCCTTCTCTTATTCTCCCTCTAAAAATAAATAAATAAAATATTTAAAAATAGAATATTATACAGACATTTAAAAGAATTCAGCATGTCTATCTGTGGAAATATTTCCAAGATTTTATTAAAGGAACAAATAACTAGTAAAGCCTACAAAATTTGAAAGGATGTATATCTAGCTGGTTGTCTATGGGTAGTAGAATTTTAGGTGCCTTCCACTTTCCATGACATGTGTTTCTATAGAGTCTGATATTTCATTACTTTGGCCTTGTCTGCTTTTGTAACCGAAAGAAACGGCACAGATAACATTGAAAACGCACGTGAACTTCATTATCCATAATTTGACTGTGCAGCTCTGCTTACCTTCCTCAATCTCATTGAAATTTTGTTTTTCTCTGCTCCTTTCTTTTAAAAACCACAAATGCTTTTTTTTCCCCAGTGAATGTCCATTAAAGCATAAATTAGTGATTAGATTATAAAAGTGCACAGTGAGGTGGTTATTTAGCAAGTTATTGTTAATGACTATGAATAAACATTCTGTGATACAGATTCCTTGACCTGGTTGGGTAGGGAGGGCAGCTGCATTAAAGATAAATCATTTGCACCCTGACTGGTGTGTCTCAGTTGGTTGGGTGTCATTCTGCAAAGCAAAAGGTCGCTGGTTTGATTCCTGGTCAGGGCACATGCCTGGGTTGCGGGTTTAGTCCCCTGGTTGGGGCACACGAGAGAGACAACTGATTGACATTTCTGACGTCCGAATGTTTCTTCCTCTCTCTCTCTCTTTTCTTAAGATTTATTTATTTATTTACTTATTTTTAGAGACAGGGGAAGGGAGGGAGAGAGAAAGGGAGAGAAATATCAATGTGTGAGAGAAACATTGATCTGTTGCCTCTCTCACATCCCCATCCATTGCAGCCCAGGCACGTGCCCTTACTGGGAAGCAAACCAGCGACCTTTCAGTTTGCAAGATGATGCCCTGAGCCATACCAGTCAGCACTCTCCCTCTTTTCTCTCTCCCTCCCCCTCTCTAGATAAATAAAGTCTTTTTAAAAAAATAAATTATTTGCAAAACTGTATGTTTGCGTGTTTCCTCGGGGGAATGGGAAGGGCAAAAAGGAACATGGCGGCATGAAGCTGTTTATCTTTTATGGTGGTGGGATTCTGGATAACATTTTTCTCGGCACTTTTGGACTTGAATTATGGTTATTCTGATGTTTGCACAGGAGGGACAATCCCCTTCATCTCTCTGAATTGTCTACTCTTCAGAACTGCTTTCAGGGAGGCGGCACATTTCAGCATAACTGCTGCACAGTTTATTGGTTAAAACCAGAGAATTTAACTAAAAAGCAACTGAGTTCAAATGCTGACCCTGTCACTCATCAGCTGTGTGATTTGGGGCAAGTGACTATTTTCGAGCCTCGGTTTCCTAACCTGTAACGTGGGGTTAATAAAACCCACCTCACAAGCATACCTCACCTAGTACCTCGCATGTGATAAGAACCTAATCAATACTAGTTCTGAACTCTTTTCATGAAATAACCGAACAGTATAACATGGCAGTTAAGAGCAGAAGCTTTAGAGTTGTACACACCTATGTTCAAAAACCAAACACCACTATTTACAAGTTGTATGCCCTTGGGCAAATGGCTTAGCCTTCTAAGCCTTAGTTTCTTCAACTGTAAAACAGAGATAATAATGGTACACTTCCTGGCACCGAGAACATAATCAATAAACGGTAGCTATTATAACTATTGTGTCCCCTCTGGCCTACTGAGGGCCCACAAACCAACAAGGGGGTAAACGTACTGCTGCAGGTGATCTCTGTGCCAGAACATGAGTAGGAGTAGGATTTGGTGTACGGGTTGTCCAGCAGGAATGTGCAGCTGTCCAGCTTCTTGGCTTGGTCGTAGCAGTTGTCGTGTCTCTGGCAGCACCTGGGGAAGGGCAGGAACAGAAGAACTAAGGCAGGAGCGGGTGCCTGGGCAGCAGGTCAGCCTGCACGTGCTCTCTCAGAACAGGTGGGGATGTGTTGAGCTGACATGCTGCGGGAGAGTTTGGTTCTTTGGCTTGAAAAATGTTGTCTCTTTATCATGTTTTTTGAAGGCGATTTAAAAAATAGTTGCAGGAATACAGTCCATTCTTATGTTTTGTGTTGCAACATTCTGCCACTAGAGGGCAGCAGCACCCACTACCTCACATCGACGTTCCTTTTTTCATCCCCAATAGGGAGTGTTGGATTCAATATTCTCTTGGCACATACTCGTTTATATGACAAGAGGTGAAAATACGTTATCCTTAGAAAATATGCAAATCCCCTTTCTGTGCCTCTTTGTGATATCCTTGGTTCGTGCCCTAAACTCCCCCCCCCCCCCCCCAGCACTGCACTCTCCCTGCAGATCAATCACTCACGCGTCCAGCTCATCCACAGGGGTGCCGGATCCACCCAGACCACAGTAGCAGCCATAGTTGTTGTACTCTTTCAAGGGGTGGCTTCCAGGGATCGCGCACTTGATCAGCTTGCGGAACTGCCACACCGCCCGCGGGCTGATGCCGTCCTTTGCGGCGGCGCCCACTGCAGGAAGACACAGCTGGAGTTCAGATTCGTCCTGGTGCGCTCTGCCCGCACCCCAGGCTCCCCACTGCCTGCCTGCTGCTCGCTCAGGCCTCACGCTGCCCCCCACCCCGCCCCCGCCCCGGGCTGCCAGCTGCCTCCTCAGAAGAGAGCTGGACAAAACAAACCTGGCAAAGTGACTACGGACTTTTACAATGAAAACTTAAAAAATATATTTTTAATTGACATCGAAGTCACATAACAAAGAATTTACTAGTTTAGCCACTTAACGTGTACAATTCAGTAGTTTTTAGTAAGTTCACTGAGTTACGAAAATATCACCACTAATTCCAGAACATTTTTATCATTCCCCACAAGAGCACCCTATACCAATTAGCAAAAGCTCCTCTTTCCCCCCTCGCCTCTGGCAAACACTATTCTGCTTTCTGTCTCTATGAATTTGCCTATTCTGAATGCATCATATGAATGGAACCATACCATCTGTGACCTTTCGTGACGGGCTTCTTTCATTTGGCATGTTTTTGAGGTTCCTTTATGTTATAACATATATTAGTGCTTTTTTCATTAATTTTTTTTTTACTTAATTGTTTCTTAGAGAGAGGGGATAGGAGGAAGAAAGAGGGAGAGAAACATCTGTGTGAGAGGGAAACATCAGCTGGGTTGCCTCTCGAACGTGCCCCGACCAGGGACCGAACCTGCAGCCTGACTAGGAGGTGAATCAGCGACTTTCTCATCACAGAATCACATCCCCCCCAACTGAGCCACCAGTATCATCTCTTTGTCCCCTGCCTTGCCCTTTGTTTGGTCTGCTGGGACACTGGAGTCTCTCCGGGTGCTCAAACCCCAGAGCAAAGGAGGGGCAGCAGCTGGTCACTGTTCCCTGTGAGCTGCGTCCAGGAGCAGAGGCCTGGAGCCTGCTCAGATGGGAGTGGCTGGCTACCCTGGCCCATCTCAGACCCCACTCCTGCTTCCCTTTTCTCTCTCTCTAATCCCACCAGCTCTGTGTTTGCAGAGGCCAGATCCGAATAAAGCTACTGTGCGTGTGTGTGCGCGCACACGCCTCGGACCAGGAGCGTGACTCATTCATTCGTCTCAGATCTCAGTCTCAGGCCAGAGTTTGATACCTTGGCGGCTCTGATACCATCGATGTTGAATAAATGAATGAAGGAAGGATAAATGCGGTGGGATTTTAATACCTCTGTTCTCATGAAGCCCATGTGGGTGAGGTAAAAAAAAAAAGGAACAAGATACAAATTGCAAGCAAAGATGGGTTGCCAGGAGGACCTAGTACCGAGGCAATATGGCAGCGAGAAAGAAAGGGGTCTTCTTTCTTAGTCTAGATGGACAGGGGGACTTTTTGAAAAGGGTTGTCTGAATTTAAACTTCAAACCTAAAAATTAAAAGGTGCCAGCTGGGGTGGGAAGTGGATTTGAGGAAATCCCAGTGTGGGAGCTCTTATGCCCTACAGGAAGCTCTGAAGAAAGACTCCAGGTCTGGCCAGCCCTGGGACCTGTGGCCCCCATCCCAGAGGGCTGAGATCTTAGCCAAGGAGGTGGAGGGAGCTGGAAAGACTTGCTTACCTGTGAGCAGAGCAGCCAGTACAAGGAGTTTCATCTCGTTCTGAAGCTAGCGAGAGTGATGAAGGACTTAAGGCCACCCTGCTTATAGTCACCCTGAGGCCCCAAGATAAGGCTGTAGTGTTTGCCTTTCTACCTGCTGACTTTGGATTGTCCTTGAGCTTATCTATTTTGGGTGAGTGACAAGTAAGCCCTGCCAGTAAGAGGTCATGGAAATAGTGGAGGTAATTGGTCATCAGTACTTTCTAATGAAAGTGGTTATTTCTGAAGTCTCACACCTTGGAATCTTGGCCTTCATTCCCACCCCTTGGCACTCAGCCCAGTTTCATCATTGGGGGTGTGTGTGGCAAAGCCATCGACCCCGTTGAACAACTGGGAGAAGAGGACAGGGAGGGAGTGACCGCTCCTCCCCGTCTTCTCACGTGCCTGGGTGTGAGCAGGGGGTCTCATCGAATGGTGCCATCAATCGGGCACTTTGCAGGTGAGAAAACAGATTCAGAGAGGTGAAGGAACTTGCTCCAGATCACACAGCTAGTGAATGGCAGAGAAGGGGTTCATACAGGTATGTCTGATTCTGAGGCACGTGTTTCATCCCCCCCCCACCCGTCATACCAATACCACTCCTTCCCCCATTTCCCACTGTGGGTTTGTAAGAAAACCCCCCAGAGAAAAAAACCCCAAAGTCTTGTAGAATGAAAAAGCATTTTAGAACTGTCCTATCCAGTGTCAGTATAACATTTTGGGGGTGAAATGCACATCGCAGAAAATTAACCATTTTGTTTTGAAAGCGAACAGTTCAGCGGCCTGCAGCGCCTTCCCAGTGTGCAGCGACCACCATCTCAATCTGGTCCCAGAGCATTTCCCCTCCCCAGAGGGAACCCAGTGCCCATCAGCCACCGCGCTCTCTCAACCCCAGGCAACTGCAGTCCGCTGTTCCTCTCTGTAGATTTACTTGTTCTGGATGTTTCACGTAATATGCACCTTTTTTAATAACTGATTTCTCTGTGTCTTCCCACTGAGTTCCCATGTGATCTCTGCAGTGACCCTGTGTTCGTATGTTATTTATTCACTTACTCATTTTTCTTGAGCAGAATTCCCACATACTGTCCGACCCACCCTGCCCCATCTGCTCTCATAGTTTCATTATTATTAACCTCATGCTACTATGGTAATTTGTTATGACTAATGAACCATTATTAAAATATTATTATTGTCAAATATAGTATTGATAAACCCAAACCCACAGCTTATTTATATTTCCTTAGTTTTTACCAAATGCTCTTCTTCCGCTCCACTCTCCAACCCAAGATAGCACATTCTTTTAGGTTGTCATGCCTGCTTGGGCCCCGCTGAGCTGTGGCAGTCTCTCAGACTCCCTTGTTGATGACCTTGACAGTCTGAGGGACAGAGGTCAGGTGTATCAGAGGGGGCTCCTCCGCTGGAATGTGTCTGATGTTTGATTAACCTGCAGGGCTGGTTACAGGTTTGGGGAGGGGGGCGCTCACGGAGGTGAAGTTCGTTTCCATCACGCGGCCGTTTTGTTGAATCATCTCATCCTGGAGGCACCTCAGTCACTCTCCAGGTGCGGACACCGCGACTCAGCCCGAGGTAGAGCTGCAAGTGGCCACGAGCAGCAACGAACCCACACCTGCCACTTCCAGCTGAACCCTGCAGCCTGGGCAAGGTTATGCTGTGTGTGAGTCAGCGCCGTGGCCTCCGCTCATGCCCTCAGGATCCCACCTCGCTGTACCTTTCCCTTGAACGTGAACCAGGGCCAAGGAAAAAGAAATCCATCCGGAAGGGCTTCTCTGTCTCATCTCGGGTCCAGGAGTCCCAGGAAAGGTCCTTCAGCTTATGAGCTAACACCAGACAGGTTTTAATAAGCAGACGGGGAAATGGAGGCCCAGGAAGGCAAGGCGATTGATTTTCTGCCACCTCTCTCTTCATCAGTTTCTGCATCTGTCCAATGGCAGCCATTAGCCACAAGTAGCTATTCAAATTCATTGCAATTAAAGAATATTAAAATCCGTTTTTCAGTTGCACAAGCCCCATTTCAAGTGTTCAACAGCTACACGTACATGGCCAGTGAGTGGCTGTTGTATTGGACAGCGCAGAAATAGAGGGTTTTCATCATCAGAAAAGGTTCTGTGGGGCGGCTTGCTCTTCAGGATGTCACAAAGCCGTCTCAGTGCCCGGCCGGAGACCAGTGGGGGCTGTGAGAGTTACGAGAGGGACAGTGGGGTTAGCTCAGAACCCCACATGAGCTGACGCATGGCCCTGCCTGTTCAGCCTCCGGAATGAGTGACAGCTGCTTAAGGAAAGGGAAGGGACGGCCAGCAGAACGCTCAGTCCCCCTTCTGTGGGTTCTTTGGGGGTCAGGATGACACGGAGGAGCAGGCACTGGTCCCTGTTGAAGGTGGCCTGAGAAAGGAGGTGTAGCTGGTAGGCCAAAAATCCTCTAAGGCCAATAGTATTAACTACCATTTCACTGAACACTAACTCTATTCCAGGTCCCGTACTAAGTACCTGGCACAGACCTCTAAGGTAGGTCCAACTGCAAACTCCATTTTAGAGCGAAGACAACTGAGGCTCAGAGAGGTTAAGAAACTGTCCCAGGGTCACACAGCAGGACCAAGATGTGAGTTAGATCTGGTGCTTATACTATAGTATCACCTCGTGACAGGGGATTGTAGTAGTGGGTGGGAGTGTGGAAAGCCCTTGGGGGCCCGAAGGAGGTTTACCCACTTCTCTCCTTCTCTCCCCACCGTCCCCCTGCCTCCGCCAGCTGGAGGCTTTCCACAAAGGCAGGCTGCACAAATTCCCATGTGAAATTCCTGCTGGGGCTTAGGCAGAGCACCTGGCAGGGGAAGGTCAGGCAGCTACTAGAACTTTCTTTTCCTGGAAAGAGACCTGCTAAATGAGACAATCCAGACCTCTGCAGGGAACACAGAGGTGGCCAAGGAATAGACTTGGCAGGTCACGGGGAACCCACTAAGCCCCTTTGTGCCATGACCTCCTGCTGCCCCACGTGCACGCACAGGTGTGTCCAGCACAGCTTCTCCCAGCCTGGGAAAAACACACCTTCCAGTGGAAAGAACAGCTAAGGATAGCTTCTTGGCTCCTTCAGATGACAGCATACCCACACTCCAGCAAGGTCACATCGACCTAGTTCCTAAAAGACAAGGCTCCTGCTTCCAGAAAACGTGTCAAGGCAGCTACCATTTGGTGCGTGCTTCTCTATGCTGGCCGCTGTGCGAGGGCTTTGTGTGTGTGTCTGTGTGTGTTTTCAGCCTAATCCCAATCTCCTGGCCTAGCTACTATTGTTTCCTCCTCTTCCCCTTTTCACAGATGATAAAAGAGGTTCAGAGAGCTTCAGTAACTTGCTTAAAGTCACACAGCTTGAAAGGTAGGATTTCAACCTGTGTACCTGCTTCTTAGTCCAGGGCTGCTAATAATAGTAATAAAATAATAATAATAATAATAATAATAATAATAATAATAATAAAATCAGCAGCAGCAGCAAACATCCCTTGAAGGCTGTGCCAGGAAAGATACCTTCCCACAGGCTAGGCCACGGTCAAGTGCTATTCCACTGAACTAGCACCTCCAAGTGTCTGCCAGGGGTTCCAACCTGTGGCCCTCGGGCCTCATGCGGCCTGGGATAGCCGTGAATACGGTCCAGCACAAAATTGTAAATTAACTTAAAAACCTTTTATTTATTTATTTTTGCTCATCAGTTTTCATTAGTGTTTGTGTTATTTACTGTGCAGCCCAAGACAACTCTTCTTCCCGCGTGGCCCAGAGACACCAAACTGTGGACGCCCCTGAACCTTTTCCCACACCAAAGCCACCCTCCTCAGCCTCTGGTTTTTTATGACGGACTTGTAACTTTCCCAGCAGCGTCCATTCTCTACCTCCCTTATCCATCTGGAGAAGTTCTTTAAATATTCTGGGGGCTGGCCTCACTCTGGACCGTTCGCAAACCTCTTCTCCCATCCCCCAGGCCGCCTTCCTCTCTGCTGTGTCCTTTGATGCACAAAAGTCTGTAAGTCTGACCTAGTCCCACACGTCTGTTTTTGCTTTTGTTGCCTATGCGTTTTAAACATATTTTATTTCTTTATTTTTATAGAGAGGGAAAGGGAAGGAGAAAGAGAGGGAAAGAAACACCAATGTGTGGTTGCCTCTCACACATCCCCAACTGGGGACCCGGCCCACAACCCAGGTATGTGCCCTGACTGGGAATCAAACCAGCAACCCTTTAGTTTGCAGGCCAGTGCTCAATCCACTGAGCTACACCACCCAGGGCTGCCTATGCTTTTTGACGTCCTTTCTAATAAAATATTGCCAAATCCAATGCCATGAAGCTTTCCTTGTGTTCTTCTAGGAATCTCATAGTTTCAGGTCTTACACTGAGGTCAATTCATTTTGAGTTAATTTTTGTAGATGGCACTTGGTAAGTAAGGGTCCAACTCCATTCTTTTGTGTGTAGCTTTCAATTTTTCCTGATTCCTCTCCTTGGAAACTGTCATTTCCACACTGGGTATCCTTGGCACCCTTGTCGGAGGTCATTTGCCCATATTAGTGAGGGTTTCTGGCTGGGTTGTCTTATCGTTTTCCATCAGCTCATCTGTCTTTATGTCAGTACTTCACCGTTTGGATGACTATAACGTTTGATATATTTTGAAATCAGAAAGCGTGAACCCACCAACTCTTTCAAAATTGCTTGGCCTATTTGGGGTCCCTTGAAATTCCGTATGAATTTTAGGTCCATTGGGGCTTTGATAGGTATTGCCCTGAATCTTCAGATTGCTTTGGGTAGTATGGACATCTTAACATTGTCTTCTAATCCATGGACACAGGATGTCTCTCTGCTTGCATCTTCTTTCTTTCAGCAATATTTGGTAGTTTTCATGGTACAAGTCTTTCACCTCCTTGCTTAAGTTTATTTCTACATTTCAATGCTATTGTAATATAATTGTTTTCTTAATTTTTTTCTGGTTGTCCACTGCTAATGGTAGAAACATGATTGATTTTTGTGTGGTTTTATATCCTGCAACTTTGCTAAATTCTTTTATTCTAAGGGGTTTTTTGGTGGAATCTTTAGAGTTTTTTTTACATATAAGATCATATTATCTGCAAACAGAGATAATTTTACTTCTTCCTGTTCGATTTGGATGGCTTTTTTCTTGTTTCTCGTCTAATTGCTCTGGTGCTCACCAATGATGTGTCAAAGAGAGGTGGCCAGACTGGGCTTCCTTGACTTACTGCTGTTGATGTAGAGAAAAGCTTTCAGTGGAAAATTTATTTATTTATTTATTTATTTATTTATTTATTTATTTATAAGCTCTTATTCATCTTTAGAGCAGAAGGGAAGGAGAGAGGGAGAGAAACATCAATGTATGGTTGCCTCTCGTGCATCCCCTGCTGGGAACCTGCCTGCAACCCAGGCATGTGCCCTGACTGGGAATCAAACCACGGTTGTTTGGTTCGCAGGCCCGAACTCAATCCACTGAGCTACACCAGCCAGGGCACTTTCAGTAGAAAATTAAAAAAGAAAAACAATGTACCATAATACAACAATCACACCTATCAAAAATAAAACAATTTCTAAAGGCCTTAGTCTCAAGATGTCTTTTAGTTTTTCCAAAATCATATCCAAATATGCTATGTTTTCTTGTTTGGGAATCAAATATTGTTCTGGGAGAAAAATAAAAAGAAGGGAAGGGAAAGCGGGGTGTCACTGGAGTCCCTGGATGCGAAGGCACAGAGACACCAAACCGAGCACCGTTTTCAAATAATTTATTAGGAATTTAAAACGGAAAATAAAACCTGGAAAAAGAAGTTACAGATGTGGAGAGAAGAGACACCGGAGGGTGGTAACTTGCTGGCTTCAAAACACCGTGTAACATCTTTTTTAAAAAAAATTCCCCAAACAAATCAGAAAACGGAATTTCAAGGCCCTGAGCCCGCCCAGGGGCGGGCCCAATGGGGTGGGGGCGGGGAATCACAGGAAGGGAGTAGGGGGAAGCTAAGTCTCTCATGACTCGGCTCAAATGTGTAGAAAATTAAAAATAAAAACCAATAAAATGCAGCTTCTCTTTTATTAGGAAACATTAAAAAAAAAAAAAAAACGAACACGAACAGCCGCGCATCTCAGTAACAAAGATTATTGCTTTGTGTTCTCAGGGCTAATAGGTTAAGCACCTCACACAGACAATTAACTCTCCAAAGGGGGTTTTAAGAATGGGGACTGGGACTGTGATAGGGAAGGGAGCTTAGGTCCCCAGCCTCAGACCTGGGGACAGAGACAGAGGGGGTGACAGGTGGGCTTCCGCCCTGCCACACCGGCCAGGTCCCTCGCGGTTCAGGAAGTCAAACCCTGAGCCTCTTTTTCCTTTGAAGGGGGCTTAGGGGTAAGGGGCTGCCAAGGGGCTCTGGCCATGGGACCATCTTGGTGGGATACTTCAGTGAGAGAATGTGGGGGTTCCCTGAGAAGCCCGTTGCTTTCCCCTGGGGTCCACCCCTTCCCGAGCGCCCCGATGCCCACTCATGGGGGCTCAGAGCAGAAACCACGAAGGCCTGACCTAGGCAGTGGGCCAGGGGAGACCTTTGGAGAGTTAATTCATTTCCAGCAGTGGCTCTGGGGGAGCCCTTCTCTTCCCTCGCCCCTTGCCCCTTCACCGGGTTTCCGGGGTGAGCAGGCCCAAGGCCTTGACCCCTAGGGCCTGAGAGAGCGGGCCTGCCTCGGCCACGGAAGAGGCCTGCAAGCTTACAGTAACGGTGTCTGAGGAGGGGACAGAAACGCGGGAGGGAGACCTTTGCCTGGTGGGGACAGGCGACGCCCTCGCCCCCAAGGAGTCGTGGAGAGGGCGGGGCTTCACCTCACAGTATTTACATATGATACAGGACGGGATGGTTCCAGGGGCTCGGCCTGGGCTACGCAGCCCTGTCCTCCTCTCCAGGGCCGGAGGGAGGTGGCCAGGGGCCCACACCCACACAGACGCTTTGTTCTCAGCTGGTGAGGCGGCGCCTGGCCCCTTGCCCCCTGCGGCCTGGGGCTTCACATTCACAAACCTAGAAATAGCTTTAAAAAGTTTCTTTAAAAAAAAAAAAAAAAGGAAAAGAGAAAAGGAGGGAAAATCAGAATAAAAAACCCGGGTTAGGGCTGCAGCCTGCGGCAGGCCCCTCCGCCCTCGCTCTAGCTAAGCACAAATACAAAAGCCTTCTGGGGTGGGTCCTACGGGGCGCGGCAGAGAGGGGCGTGCAGACCCAAGAGGGGAGAACCAGGGGGTGGTGGGGGCAACTGGCTAATCCAAAATAAATAAAAGCGGGCAGGTGAGGGAGGGGCAGAGGCGGAAGGGGGAAGATTAGTAGGGGAGCCAGACGTTGTCCAGGGGCAGCAGGGCAGGGGCCGGGGGCCCCGGGAGTGGGGGCGGGCAGTAGCGGTCCGAGTCGCTGCAGGGAGAAGGGGCGGCGGCTGCGGCTGAGGTGTCCCCGCCCCCTCGCTGGCTCACTTGTGGTCCTCAGTCAGCTGCAGGCTAGGGCACTGCAACACAGCAGGAGGTTGTGGGGGCCCGGAGGCTTTCTGCCCCCAAACCCTCTGCCCCGCACGACACATGTATTCTGCCCACATAGGCCTCTTTTCCTAATCACTTTCTACGTGAGCGTCGTTCACATGCTGTGCACCTTCCGTTCCCATTTGCAAAGCTTTCTCTAGCTTTTAAATGACTGGATTTATTCAAACTTTATTCTCAGAGACGCCTTCTCTGACCCCCTAAAGTAGGTTCCTCTCTCACAACTTACAATGATCTCACTTGATTTTTGTCTGTAGAATGAGAGGAACCTTCGGTCTTATACATCCCTCTTTCTTGGGACATTGCTCAACAAATAGTTGTTTGAATGAATGAATAAAAAGAAAAAATCGGCCCCCCCAAATTAGCCCTGACTGGTGTGGCTCAGTGGATTGAGCCCCAGCCTGGGAACCCAAGGGTTGCCAGTTTGATTCCCAGTCTCAGCACATGTCTGGGTTTCTGGCCAGGTCTCCAGTAGGGGGCGTGTGAGAGGCAACCACATTGATGTTTCTCTCCCTCTCTTCCCCTTTCTAAAAATAAATACAATTAAAAAAAATTATTTTATTAAAAAAATATTTTTAAAGAGAGGGAGAGAAACATCAATATGTGGTTGCCTCTCCTGTGGCCTCCATTGAGGACGTGGCCCACAACCCAGGCAAGTGTCCTGACTGGGAATTGAACCGGTAACCCTTTGGTTCACAGCCCATGCTCAGTGCACTGAGCTACATCAGCCAGGGCCCACCTCTCTCTGTGTCAACAATATTCTGCTTTCATGGCTGTGTAATATTTCATTGGATGTATACACTCACGTATTTGACAACTCTTCTTTTGCTGGGCGATGCAGTTACTTTCAGTTTTTAAAATAAATGCCCAGAAGTGGAATTGCTGGGTCCTGGGGATGAACGTTTATAAAACCTGGATATACACTGCCCGACTTTCGTTTGGAAACAATGAGCCTATTTGCACCGTTTCTCCCGCAGCCTCATCAATGCTGGGCGTTAGCAGTCTAGAAGAACTCTGCCTGACAGGTGGAACGTGCTGGCTTATTGTTTTCATTTACAGGGTTTGTTTGTTTGTTTGTTTTATGCGGCAGGGTGAACAGCTGTCTGTGTTCATTGACCATTGCTGGTACGAAGGTCTGTCCCCGCACTGAACAGTGGGCTGTGTGAAGGCAGGGACAGGTTCTGTGTCCCAGACCGGCCCCCCAGTACCAGCCTCCGCAGTGGCATCCCCACCCCAAGGCCCACCTCCTCACCTCCTCACCTCCTGCCACCTGTCTCCTGCTTCAGTGGTACCCATTGGTGAAAGCTGTGGCAATCAAGGGGCCCTGGGAAGAAAAGAACGTGACTCCTAGGTTCCTGGGGGGGAACACAGAAAGCCTGGGGCCTCCTTCTTTTCTCCCGCAGGAAAGCTGAGGTGAGACACGGCCCTTCTCTGGTCCTGTCCATGTTACTCCCCCTGCAGACTCACTGTGAGATTCTCCAGGGCAGGGCCGGGGACCTGTATATTACCAGTACCCTCCTTAAAATCAGGGCCCCCAGAGCTAGAATCTAGCCTCCGTGGGGACAGAGATGGTGAGTCTCATTTGCTCAATACCCCCAGACCCCACCTAGGGCCCAGCGTGCGGAGAGCAATCATTAAATGCCCACTGAGGGAATGAGGACCCCTGTCCTCCCCCTTGGTGACTCTCCATTCATGATGCCTTGCTTCCCTCTGCCCCTCAGACAGACAAGGCCTTTCCTTCCTCCAACTTTAGGCCTCCTCCAGGACTGGGCACTCACCCCAAGACTGTGGCCGAAGCCGGTGCTGGGGGCGGGGCTGGCAGCGCTGATGTAACTGCTGACCCCTGAGTCCTGGTTGGCTGCCCCATAGAGCTCAGCCATGGGACCGGGGCTGGTGGTCCCCAGGAAGCCCCCTGTGCGGCTGGGAGTCGAACCTGGAGGGGGAGCCATCGTCCAGGGGTGAGAGCCTGGCAACCCAGAAAGAAGATGGTGATAGCCCTGGAGCCTTCAAACCTGCCCTGCCCACCCTGACCTTGACCCCGCCCTCTGCCTCATCCCCTCCAAATCCGTCCACCCCACCAGCCCTAGCCCAGGCCTCCCTCATCTCCTGTCTGACCACGGGGCAGCCTCTTCGCCGATCTCCAGGCCTCGCCACCTGAGCTCCTTCACACCCTTCCCCACGCTGCGCCTGTCTGCCACTTCCTAAAACCCACATCCCTCCATGGCTGAAAACGCCCCGTTTCTCCTCGGGAGACACTGGTTCCTCCGACCTCGTTCTCCCCGCATCTCATTCCCGCACTCCGCCTGTGCTCACTGGCAGCCAGGCCTTTGCACCTGCGATTGCCTCTGCTGGGAACTCTTTCCCTTCTCTTTGCTTTCTGATCAAAAGTGAGGTCGTTCACCCTGGATGCCTTCCCCAGAGGCCTGTGAGCTCCTCTGGGGATCCCCTGGCACCTGCCTTCCCCCAGAGGAGCAGCATCGACCTCCAGAATTACTGCCTTTCTAATACCTGATGCCCCTCCAGCCTTTAAGCTCTGGAGGGCAGAGCCCAGTCTCCGTCCTGGCTGGTCGGCCAGGTGCTCAGTTAACACTGAGCGAATGAATGAATACGGAAGCCCCTCTGAAACGGGGTGGTGGTGGCTGCCCCCCCTCCCCTCTACACTTCTCTGCACCCTCTTCCTCACTTCCTGCGTCCCAGGAGGCCTCACCTGTCCCTCGAACCACAGCCGCCGCTGCTGCCGCTGCCGCCATTGGTCCGTAAGCAGTGAGAGGAATGGCTGAAATGAAAGGTACGGACACTTCAGCGTGGCAGGTGAGGGGGCACAGGTGGGTGACGGAGGCCCCCCCGGGCAGGGCCTTAGCCCACCACAGAGGGGCCAGTGCAGTCCCAGGGTCAAAGCAGGAAGAACTCTCAGGCTGCCATCCGTGCTCTGACCCGTGGGGGGGATGGAGACAGGTAGGAGAGAGGGTGGCTGCCCAGCGCTCAGCTCAGGCTAGGTTTCCCCCTGGACTTAAGGGCACGGCTGAACAACCCAAAACTCAGAGAGGGCGAGGGTGGGGCATCTCACCCTGGGCTGCCCCCTGCTCCAGAGAGTGCCCTTGGCCTAACAAGGGGCCACCCAGCCCACAGGCACCGGGAGCTCACGTCCCTCTTCCCACCCCCAGTCAACTGGAGTGAGGGGCTGATACGGGCCCGGAAAGCCAGGCCCTTTGCCTCAAGGTGCAGCCGACGCTGAGGTGCAGTTCGGGGCCCAGAGCTCCCTGTGTGACCTGGCCGAAGCCAGGCAGCAGCTCAGGCCACAGTTCTGCTTTGCAGCGACCCCCTGACCACCAACCAGCCCGAAATGACCACTCCCTCCCCCAAATCCCTTCAGCCCCTTTTCTCTGATCCCCTCTTCATACACAGAGATCTTACTATTCTCTTGTTTGTTTTCTACTTCCATCCCCACCTCCACGGCACCTAGCACCCTGCCTGGCACACTATAGGTGTTTAGTAAATGGGCCCTGAAGGAATAGAAGGAACCTCCGGGTGGGCTGGAGCCTGGGGCTGGGAGTAAGCGCCCCCTACTGTTTGGTTCTGCCCCTGCATCCCTTGAGAAGCTACAGCTCAGCACAGAGCCAGGGTCTGCAGAGCTGGCATCAGCCCTCAGGAACATCAGCCTCCCATCCCAAGACATGCCCCTTGGGGCTGTTTGAGTCACACTGAACTGAACCTGGGCTAGGGACACCAGAAAAGGCCCCTGAAAATCCTTTACATGGCCACTGGGCTGGGGATTAAAGTCTAGGGCAGAGGACAGAGCAATTCCCACACAGTATAGGAACCTTGCTGAAGAGCTTCGTACGCCTGGCTTCTTCTTAGGCAGATGTCACCTCCTTTGAGAAGCCTTCCCTGACCACCCTCGTGAAGGCATTCCCCTGCCTCCAACTCCAACCCCTTACCACATCTCCGTTTTATTTTCCCCATGCAATTTCTCACTCTCTGAAAGTATCTTGTTTACTTGTTTACTGCTGTCCCCTCCACTAGAACATCAGGAAGGACCTTCTCTGTCTCACTCACTGCTGTACCTCCACTGCTCGGAGCAGCATCTGACATGGTAAATACCTACTAAACGCATGACAGACACACCCCTGTCTCCTGAGAGCCAGAGAAAAGTTCAGACCCTCTAGGATAGACCTCCTCCCTTGCCGAGACATCTGCAGGGGACACTTCCTCCCTCAGTTCTTTAAAGGCAGGGGATGGACCATGAGGTCTGTTTTTAGGCACCTTGAGGCATTTTCACAGAGCAAAGTCAACGGGGCCCAGCTGAGCAGGTGCTCGCCCCAACTGTTAAGGATCATTCCTTTGTATGGTAAGTACTTGTTTCCCTCTCTAGACTGCAAGTTCTGTGATAGCAAGGCTTGGTAGAATGTCCCACACAGTAGGTCCTCAACACAGAGTTTGTCAATGAGTAGAAAAGACCCCCCCCATGCTGTCTCCCCCATTGCTGGTCAAACCCCACTCTATTCAGGGAAGAGCCTCTATCACCCCCACCTCCAGGGCTCTCTACTCCCTCCCTTTTCTTCACCCCATTTTTCTCCTCCCTCTTCTCCACTTTGGGGGACCCCTGAGCACCCCTTGGAAGGAAGGTCTCATTTAAAGCAGCATCCATCCTCCACACACGGCCAGGTTGGGGGGAGAGTCTGGGGATGGGGTAGGGGGGAAGCAGGTTGAACACAGAAACCCCTCGCAGCCCGCCTCGTCTGTCCACGCCCTGCCCCTCCCCTTGGCCTTGACCCCAGCTCAGAGCTGAGCTGACTGGCCCTGAGAAAGCTCCGGTTGGAGAAATGACTCTGGTGGCACCTTCATCCCACTTGCTCAGAAGTCCCAAATGGGCACCCAGAGAGCTGGATTTGCCCCTCAAATAGGTCTCACTTGGCGTGCAGTGGTTTAAAAATGTGGAGTTTGTTGCCGACACTTGAAAATAACTGGAAAATTCATTTGAGAGCAAAAGCCGGGTTTCTGGCTTCTCCTGGAAAATGAGACCTGAACATCCTGGGTCTGTATGCCCTCCCGGCAAGGGTCAGCTCTGGCACGGTGTGCGGCCATGCCCACTCCAGTTTGCCGAAGTCCCACCCGGCCCCCGTGCTCTGAGTTTGAGACCCTGGCTTCTTCACCACTGGGTCCCGGAGCCTGCACGGTGTGTGGCACATGGGAGGTGCTAGATTAATATTTGCCAAATGGATGAATGAGTGGCTTTGCCTCCATCTGCCCAGCTTGGCCCCGTGCCCTACCCTAAGGGCCATACTGCTACACAGGCCGGCCAGTGCCCAGGCAGAGTCTGCTGCACCCCCACAGCTGGAGGGCTGGCGGGCAGGAGAAAAGGGGCCCAAGATAACTTTCCCCCCGGGAAGGTCCCTGAGTCCTTCTCTGCCTCCCCATGTGGCCTGTGAGGGGTATGAAATCCGAGCGACTGACCTGTAAGCTCGGGAAGGACTGGGGCGCTCGGGAGAGGGGTCCGCTCTACACGGAATTCTAAAATGAAAGGTAAAACAGCTTAGGAAGATGCAGGGGAGGCCCCTCCGGCATGGCCCAGGGAGGACAACAGCACCCCCAGGGACACTGGGTAGGGAGGCAGGCCATGCACGGGACCCAAGAACTGGGGGTGGGGAGAGCACGGTCCCAGCAGGCGAGGGCAGGGGAGGAGACGAACACGGGGAGGAGAGTCGGAGAAGATGGGCAGGGTTGCCACCTAGACCCTGGGCGCGGGCAGAGCTGCAGCCACCATGACCGGTGTTTTCTCAAAGGCTTGAGATTGCACCAAAACATCTCCCAGAGTCCTCCTCTGCTATTTTCTTCCGGGGAAGGAGGAGATGGGGAAGCCGCTTTGGTGAAAAGCGATTGACCCTACAGCAGGTTGGGCTCAGGATGGGTGCCCAGCTCCAGCCCTTTCTAGCTGAGTCATCTTAGCAAGTCACTTCACCCCTCTGAGCCCGCCCCCTCCCCCACGAGACTGTTGTCAGCATCAGACAACTTAATGGGAACACAGGATTCCAAGCTGGGCAGCCCAAGACTTGAATGATGCACATGCTTAGGGACCCTCTAAAAATAAGACCAAAAAAACCCCCACAAACCCCAAGAAGGCAGCAGCTTGCAAAAAATTTGATATTTGATATTTCAAAGAAAACAATATGAATAGTCATCACCAGAGCGTTCAGAACTTTGTCGGGCTCCCTGCCACTTATCTGAAGGCCCCATGTTACTGTCATTTTGAATTACAAATGAGGGTGGTGATCAGCATGCTTTTCAATTGTTTTTCAGCCTTGAAAGGTTCAGTGTTGCACATGGTCACTCTACAGGTGTCTAGGAAGACACAAGCAACGTGCCTCCATCACAAGCCCAGTGCCCTCTTTGGTGGAAGTGGCAACCCTGGAGCGGGGAGGGGAGGACAGAAAGGGCAGAGAGGTCGCCCTGGGAGAGACGGGTGCCATGCGGGGCCACGCTGGAGGTCCTACCCCCAGCTTCTGGGGAGGGGGTGAGGAGAGGGTGGGTGGGGAGAGGCGCTCCTTCCTCAGACATGCCCTTCCTTCCAAGCCTCCAGCAGGCAGACCCCCGCCCCCGCCTCAGCCATGCACCCCCAGACACCACCCTGAGGAGTGAGACTGCCTGGGAACCGGGGACACCAAACGGGACTTACCAGGGAACTGGTAGGTGTACCCAGGGGCAAGGCCTGTGTAACTCCGGCTGGCATAGGTCGTGGCTTGGAAACCGGGGTAACCTGATGGAACGAGGGGGCTACTGTCAGATGCCTCACCTACAGCTTGGAGCCTGACCAGCAGGGAACCACTCATTTCCCTCTTCATCGCATCTCACGAGTAACAGTCAGTCACAGGGGCCAAATACCTTCCACGTGCACTACTGAAAGACCTATTTTACCGGTAAGAAAACTGACACTTACTGGCCACGAATAATCCAAAGCCTTGCCGAGGCCCTTCGTGCGCTGGCTCTGGCCTCCCACCCTCACCCATACTCTGCCCCAGCTACACCCACCTCCCTGCTGTTTCTCAGATCCACCGAGCTCCTCTCCACCTCAGGGCCTTTGTGTATGCTGTTCCCTCTGCCTGGAACACTTGTCCCCCCAGGTTTTTATATGACTGGGTTCTCTTTAAAAAATAAATTGTTTTTAATCCTCAGCAGAGGACATTTTTTTCACTGCTTTTGGGCGGGGGGGAAGGGAGAGAGAAGCACTGATTGGTTGCTTCCAATATGTGCCCATCGCAGGACCAGGGATCATACACGTGTCCAGACCTGGGATCATATGCATTCGGACACGAGACTGGACCCGTAACCTAGGCATGTGCTCCAGCTGGGAATCGAACCCACCTTTCGGTTACTGGACAACACTCCAACCAACCAAGCCACACCAGCCAGGGTGTGACTGGGCCTTTTTCATTGTGTGAGCCCCGGCTCAACCGCCACCGCCTCAGAGAGGCCAGCCCCCAGGAGTCCCCCCACTAGTCACATTTATCACATCACCCTGGTTTCCCTTTCATGGCCCTGGGGATGCTTCTCTGAACATAAGGCAGGATTTCTGTTAAGTGCTGACTTTCTGTTTTCCCCGACTTTTATTTCTGTATCTTCAGCACCGGCATGGTGCCTGCTACTTAGTGTATGTCTAATAAGTATTTGTGGCTGTGAAATAAAAATCACGTCGCGAGTCATAATGGGGTGAAGGGGATTCAAATTCGGATCTGACTGGCTCCGAGTCACTTCACCACCATTCTCGCTGTTAAAGGGTTTCTTTTTCTGTTTTCACTCTTTCAATGGGGTGACAAATGAACCACCTTGAAAGAAAACGTTCTCCGTGTTCCAGATCAAAGGAGGCTACGAAGGCAAGACAACTAAATGCAAGACCGGATTCCAGCCTGGATCTTGTTCTGGGCGGCAAAAATATGCTATAAAAACATGACGGGGCCAGTGGATAAATTCAGATGTAGATTCGATTAAAACACTGTGTCAGTATAAAGGCATCAAGTTGATGATTATTATGTGGTTTCACAGGGAAAAAAATCCCTAATCTTAGGAAACACACAGTGAACTATCTAAGGGTAAAGGGCCATCACACACGTCATTTGCCCTTCCGTGACACAGGGGAAAGTCACAAGGGTACTGCATGTGTGCACACACATAGGTACATACAACATGCATACACACACATACCACAAAATGGTAAAACAAGTGGGGTACACTGTTAACAGCGGGTGAACCTGGCGAAGGGGTAAGGATGGTCTATGTGCTACTTCGTTTTTTCAACTCTTTGGAAAGTTTGAAACTGCTTCCAAATAAAAAGCCCAGAAAAAAACCCAAAACTTCAAGAGAAGATCTTGAGCCACTTGGAGGCTGCTGTCCTCATCCACCCCACCTGTGATCCTAATCCTGACCCTCCTGCCCACACTATGGCCCCCTCCTCGGAGTTCCCCGAGCGCACATCCTGTCTCTTCAGGGACCCAGCTCCATCTCCCACCCTCAGTCGTGGCCCCAAGTGTTGCTGATCCTGCTCCACTGCCAAGGGTCCTGGCAGCCTCCCCCCCCCTCTCCCTGGGGCGCCTACCTGACACCCAGGTGGGTTTAGGTTCCTTCTTGGGCTCCCACAGACTCCAGTCCCTCTGTGGGGACACAGCTAATTTACTCTCGTCCCCACTGGATGGTAACCCCATGAGGATATTAACTGAATGAATAAGCAGCAGCCTTCTTTTTCCCGCCCAAAGGCCTTTGCGTTTTTGTAAATGCTGTTCCTTCTGCCTGGCACACTTTTCCCTTCACTTTCCCTCCAATCTCCCATAACCAGCTCCTATTCAACCCTCACACTCAGCTTAAACATATCTTTTCTGGCTTCTTCAAGTCTTGGTCAAGTTCCCTATGACCCCATGCTCCCCTAGCACCCTATACTTCTCCACCCTAAATCTATTTATGTTCTTAATTATTTGTTTTCCCTGCCAGACCATAAAGGTCCAAGGAGAGTCACTGTTGTACTTCTTGGCACAGTGCCCGGCCTTTATAGTTGCTCAGTAACTATTCTGGATGGATGAACGGATAGATGGCCAGGACCAACTAAAGAGTAGCTGAACTATTCTTCTGGCCACCGCCAGAGGGCAGTGCCCCACAACAAAACTGCCCCACCTTGGGCAGGCCTGCCAGACCTGAGATCCTGGGTCCCCATTCCCGCCCAATGACTCAGAGACGAGGGCAGGCCACAGAGGATGGACAACACCCACGCAGCCCCTGGTAGCCCTGGGCGCTGTTCCGGGCAGGAAGAAGCTGCAGGTGCAGGCCTGGCACATACCCAACATGCCAATGCCTAGCATGAAGGCGTCCATTCCGTAGGGCATGACTCGAGACCTCCCCCGGGCCGAGCCGGTCGGGGACATCACCTCTTTTGGCTGAGCTTTCTTACATTCCACCTGCAATGAGAGCTGGCGGTCAGTTCCTCCCACAGTCCTAGGGTCACCAACCCTCTTGTTCCCCGGCAGGCCTTTTTACTGTTAAGTTCATAGTTATCATTTACAAAGCACTCACTGTGTGCTTGGTGGGTGCTGTGTAAATGGCTTTGCATGCAACAGCTCAGGAATGCTTACACCAACCTAATGATGAAGCTACTGTTGTCGCTCCCATTTTACGGATGAGGAAACTGAGGCTCAGGGAGGGGAAATTATCTGCCTAGTGACTAGGCTTGGAAGTAGTGGAGTGAGGATTTCAACCCATGTGTTCTTTCCCCCAACCCATGCTTTTTAACCTCCACAGGACACTGCCTGACTATCCAGAACTCCAGGGCCTGAGAGATCTATCCAGCTGGCTCTACCCCAAGGACTGAGGCCCCTCTGCCTGCCTCCAGAACCCCTGAGCACCCCTGGCTGGCTCAGCCAGGAACCTCGGTCTCTCTGCATCCAACCCCAGCTCACCATTTTGTTGTTGATTTCATGGAAATGGATTTCACACACTTTCTCCACAATGTCTTCACTCTCGAACGTGACAAATCCGAACCCTAGGGGGCAAGTGCAGGGTCAAAACACCAATACATCCGCTCCTCTCCTATGGGTGAGACGCTGGGAGTTAACAAAAGGCTTTGCCCACGCACAATCCAGGAACCTCTTGACTACCTCCTGAGACAGGGATTCTCGATCCAAATCGCAAATGTGAAAAACCAAGGCTTGGGGCAGTACGGTGACTTGCTCAAGATCACACAGCAAGTCAGAAAGCGGCCAAGCTATGATGCAGTTTCACTCACTGTGCCCTCTTCTCTTCCTCAGAGGCTTTCCAAAGAGGGAAGAACACACACAAACACTTATTTAAACTTACACAAATGTGTATAGTCACACTTGTATAGGTACACACACACACACACACACAGGTGGGTCCCCAAAACATAAAGGCCCTACGCACATATACACAGTCACCCTGATACAACAAATGCACACAAATATTCAGATACTGACACCCTCGAATGCAGACGTACACACACGCATAACAGCACACAGCCAACTCCCAGAACAGGTTAAAAAGGCCCACAGGCCTGAAGCAATTTGAGATACAGCCCTGCCTCCTCCTGGGTGTGCCCCAGGGACTGGAATGGGACTCTCAGAAGGCAAGGCCTTTGGGAGAAAAACAAGCAGGCTACGCAAACACTGCGGCCCAGATGCTCCCAGGTTCAGGGGCAACGGGACTGGGGGCTGGGCTCAGCCTGAAGGAGGGGGTGGAGGGCGGTGGCAGGCGCAGGCTGCCTGGGGCTTTGAGTCAGCAAGTCAGCCTGACCCCAGGGTGGCCTGGCCTGAGCTCTGGTTACCAGGACAAGGTAAGCCCCAGTGCAGACGCTGGCTGGGCAGACATAGGACAGGGTGGGGGTGGAGGGCTCAGTGGGGAGAGTCAGCTCCTCCGCTGCTCCTCTCGGGTGTCTGCAATTCTGCAAGTTTCTAGCACAGGAAACGGTGGGACAAAAGCCTTCTGTAAGGCCAGACCCTGGAGAGGATGCAGATCCTCAGGGATAGGATGTCAGGAGGAGAGATGAAAGGGCAGCTGTGACCTGCAGCCCCTCGCTGACCACAGGCCCCCCAGCCTGGGCTGGAAAGGGGGAGGGGCCATACTCACCTCGGTGCCGGTTGGTGGTTTTGTCGAACATCAGCATGGCGTCATCCACCTGAAACAGCCATTTTGTTGTTGGAGGACCCACCAGACACCAGGGGCCTATGACAGTCCCCAAGCAGGGCTTCTCGCCCTCTCCCCTATTGCCCAGCCCAGCCTTTATCTTAAACCTGCTTCCACTGCTGGGGGCTACTTTCCATCTGCAACCTCAACTGGACGCCACAGCAGCCCCCTTTGCACCACCAGATTCTCAAGAGATCAGCCTGCAACTACCAAGCACAGAATAGGTGCCTGGCACTTTGCCTCATCATCCCCCTCCACATACCCTGCAGGGCAAGATTCTCATTTTGCAGATTAGGACATGGGCTCTGAGAGGTGAAGTCACCTGCCCAAGGTCACACAGCAAATCCTCAGTCAAGTCTGGGAGGAGGCGGCACTGAATGGGCGGTGGAGGAGGAAATACGAGATCAAGACCTGAGATGGGGAAGCGAAAGCCTCTTCCCTTTCTGCAAAAGGCCAGGAGGACAGCAGCCACTCCGGCCAGTCTCAGCTCCCCTCTCTGGGTACAGATCTTTTCCTCTAATTGAGGTTTCCTTTTGCTACAGGCTGTAATTAAAGCAAGTAGAGTTCATTGCCTGGGCCGCTTGCCTCCCACTGGCTGGGGGAGGGAAGGGGCTGAGGAAAGGGGAGGGTCTACACTATCCCGCCTCCCTTGGACCCCAGGCTTCTCTTCCTGCTACTCCCTCAAGGCATCCCCTTGGATACAAGGACCGCCAAAGACCTTAGCTTCCCTCCTACAGTCCCACCTCCCTCCTTTTGCCTACATCTGGTGTGTTCTCCGAGCCCTCTTAATTCTTCAGCCAATGTCAGCTAACTCTTGGGGTTAAGCTAAGGTCTGATTCACCCTTGGTGGAAATCAAGGGTTGCCTCCAATACCCCTCCACTGTACTCCAGCTGCTGAGCGCCCCACAGACAGTCAGACACCCGAGGGACAAAGGAACACTTCCTGAAGCCGAGGGGCAGGGCCCCCCTCTCCTTCACTCTCTTTCCAGGCCTGTCATCCGCCACCTCCTCCAAGGAAAGGGCAGGCCCTGAACAGGGTGGTCCTCCAGCTCCCACTGGCGCCAGGCCGTACAGGGCCTCTGACTGCCCCCTGGGAGAGCCAGGACCCCACTGAGGCAGGAGGCAGCTGGGTCCTGGGGCATCTGGGAAGGAAATGACACCTCCCTCCCCAGGAAGCCTCCTGCCCTGGGGCCCTGGAGGGCGGGGGTCACCCTCACCTCTGTCCTTAAAGACCCATTCTAAGTCCCAGTCCCAAATCAGCTTGACTATCCCAACCAGAGGGGCACTTCAGGCTCGGCACATGGTCCCCACCTCCTAAACCAACAGAAAAGAGAAACCCACAAAGAAGGGTCGTGACAAAAGCACGGGCTTTGAATTGGAATCCTAGGTCCTGCACTTGCTGCTGGGTAATCTTGGACAAGTGGCTGTGTCTTCGTGACTCACATGACTCGTTTGTCACATGGGTGTCAGAGCCGCTTATGGGCCGAAGTTAAATAAGATGGTGCACTTAACACTCCGAACCCACAGTACCTGGATACAGTAAGTGCTTAATCAATAACGACTATTATTATTACGTTATTACGGAGGAGCCTGCCCACAGTCACACGGGGGAGGGAGGGGGCACAGCTGGAGAGAGCGGCCCAATGCCACTCACGGCCTTTGCAGGTCCCATCAGGACCTGTGTCAGCTGCCCCCCCTCAACCGGCTCACTGAGCACCTGGCCTTGTGCTCAGTGATTGTGTTTTGGACGGATGAATGAACTAAGAACTAATGAACTAACCTGCCTCCTCCCAACACTATAGCTCTGAGTTCCTGCCTGACTCACAGACTGATTTCAGCCCAGATCCACAGCCCTGTCCCCTCCTCTACTCAATCTTCCCAGTGACCATCCCCGACCTCCCAGAACCTTCAACCTGGGCTCCTGCTGGACAGAACCCTAGTGGGGCAGTGAGGTCCAGGCCAGGGTAGGGAGCGAGGAAAGTGGCTGGGGGCCCAAGGGACCCCCACCAGTGTCCCCTCCTGGGGCCAGCTGAGGGGAGGAAGGCTCCCAGCCAGGGTGTCCTTAATAGGCTTTGGTCTCCATGGGAACCCGAGGGCAGGGGGGCTTGGGCGGGGGGAGGGGAGACGGCCGGGGCCTGCTGACCAGTGGGAGCCGCCAAGTTCGGCGGCCTCTAAGCCTGAGTGGCAGCCATGGCGGCTGACCATTGTTCCCCCCTCGGCGGCGGCCCCTCGATCCGGGCGGGGGGGCCCCCCACCGCAAGGCCCTTGGCATTCCCGGCTGTCCCCCTCGCTCCCTGGCAGCCTATTCTCCGTCTCCCCCTGGCCTCCCCGGGCCGGTTTCACATGCCAACGCCGATTTAGGCCCGAACAAAAGACGCGGCCGCTGACGGCTTCTCCTGGGGCCCGGTTGCCATGGCAACGCCGGCCCCGGGGGCAGGCGGCCTCCAATCACAGCTGCTGGATCAGATTAGTGCGAGCTCTAATGCTCGGTGCTCAGACACAAAGACACCCCGCCGGAGAGAGCGGGGCCTGCTGCTTCCCAGGAGCGTCCTTCCCTCTGGGGCCCGGGCCGCCGACCTGCCCTCCATCCTGGACCCGGGTCCCCACGGGGCGCCTGAGCCTCCGCCTCTGGCCCCCACGCCGCCCGGCATCCCCGGGCCAGGGGACCTCCCAGCCTCTCTCCCCTTTTACCCTCGAGACAGGGGGCTGGAAACCCACTCAGTCACCAACTCACATCCCATTTCTCAAACCACCTTCTTTGCCCTTTGCCTAACAGGGAACTAAAAATACCTTGATGGGAAAGCAGAGACCCAGCCTGTGGCTGTCTCACAGCGGACTAGGTCAGGGACCCCAGGCTAAGCACATGGCATCCTCAGACTAAAACTTGGTCCTCTTTGCCATCTCACCACGGAACCTTGATGTTGACACCGCTCACCTTTCCGGGGATGTCCTATTGTCTCATGTCCCCACATGTCCTACTTCACAAACAGCCCAGAAATTAAAGCTGGGTGCACCTCAGAGCTGAGAGCCAATCCTTTGGGCCTGATCTTCAGCACCCCACAATGGGTGCGGGATCAGCACCCACCCCCCTGCCCTGGCTCCTGCCACAAGCTCCCACCTGTGTAAGCAGGGTGCTGAGTGCCATTGGGAGTCCTATTTATTGCCTCTTTATCGTCCTCACCAGGAAGGAGTGGGGGAAGGTGCAACCGCCTATGGCCGGACAGGTGCAAACTCCCAGGAGGCCAAGGGGGTGACTGGATTGAACTGGCTTCAGGAGAGCAGCCTCCCGGGGGAGAATAAAGATAAGCAAGAGAAAAACACAGGCGAAGGGCAACAACAAGACAGCTACTGTGTGGCTTCTGTCCCTGGGGATGTGTCCAGAGTGTGAGGCCCATAGACAGGCCAGGAGCCTGTACGGTAGGCTTGGCCTGGCCTCACCCACAGAAAGACCCACCCCTCTTTCACCTCGTGCAGGAACTGGAATGACCTGGCTGGACTTGGTTTACTTACTGACCGATTCGACGGGAATCTTCGCACCCCCCAGCAAGGCCCCCAGTTTGACCTACCTTCCCGAACTGCTCAAAATACTGCTTCACGTCCTCCACCGTGGTGTTCACCGACAGCCCCCCCACAAAGATCTTCTTCGTCCGAGTCACCATCTGTTAGCGGGAGAGAATGAGAAAGTGGGCATCTGAGTCCCGTGGCCTACTGCCACCAGCAGGGGCTCGAGCCCTCCTGCCAGGGTGCCAGCTGACAAGCTCTCCGTGGCCCCGGCTACCCAGAAGCCCCCCCACGCTGCAAGCTCCCCCTTGGACCCCCGCCTCTAGGTCTGTCACAGGCTGCTGTGCACCCCACACCCTGGCTGGCCCCAGTGTGCCTGCCTCCTGCCTCCCTCCCTGGGGTCCGAGTGGGGAAAATTCCTTCCCTAAAGACCACCCTGGAGAAGGGGGTGGGTTAGTGACCCAGACCTACAGCCTAACTTAAAGACCCCACATGTCTCCCCCTGGGAGAGGCCAAGGCCCAGCACAGGGTCCCCCTGAACTCCATGCCGACATTTCCTCATCAACCTCTTCCCAACCCAACCTTTGGCAGCCCTGTGGCCCCAGCCCTGTTTTAGGAAGAACACATGGTCCTAATTACCCCAGGAGCGCATGGCTAATCCACGGCAATTCCCAGCCCCATCCTAACACTAAAGCACCTTCTGTCACCAAACTGCTTAATGGAATTAACCCAATTCCGACCATGTGCTCGCCGGTGCGGCTTCCTTCGAATACCTGCTCTGTAATTGCTTTCAGGCCCTCTGCTGGACCCTTCCAGAGATGCCCCTTTCCTGTGTCTTAAAAACCTGTGCTGACCATGTGACTCAGTATCACCCCGCAAAGCGAAAGGTCGCCAGTTCGATTTCCAGTCGGGGCACATGCCTGGGTTGCAGGTTTGGCCCCCCAGACGAGGCACATACAAGAGGCAACCAATCAATGTTTTCCTCTCACATCGATGTTTCTCTCCCTTTCATTCTCTCCCTTCCCCTCTCTCTAAAAAATAAATAAAATCTTTTTTTTTTAAGATGCCCCTCTCCCTTCGCTGTGGCAGGAGCAGGGCACTGTGGCTCAAAGTCCTGAAGCATCTTAGTTCCCGCCAACCCCCTCGCAAAGAGGAAACGAAGGCCTCCTGGAGAGGGACCTCGTCCTGGGACACCTGGTCAGTCGGCACACACAAGGGTCATGCTTGCTGTTCTGTAACCAGCCGTCCTGTCTGTTCCCTACACTCAGCTGCTTAAACGGTAAGCTCTGGGTAGTTGCCCTGGGGCCCGGAGCAGAATCTCAGGCCGCTGCCCCGGACCAAAGTTTTGAGCGCTGTATAATTCGACTGTGCAGAAATCTGTGTCTCACACACAGAAAAATCTGCCAGAGCCCCAGGGGAAGACGGCAAACGGGAGGGCAGCCACGGTCACCCAAGTTGGAACACAACAGGTGACAGACTCTATGGTCCCCCTCAAGCCCAGCACCTCACACTCAAAAAGTGGGAGGGTGACTGAGGTCACAGGCAGCTCCCTGGCCCAACCTAACTCAGCCTCAGGGGTTAAGTCTGTCCTGGATTTGACCCCCAAAGGCACTGGACACAGAAGCTGTGATCTCTGAGGTCAGAATTCGACTCACGGGCCAAACCAGACTGGCTTCAAACACAGGACAATGAGTCCCCCGAGGGGTCCCCCTTCTCCCAACACATGCAGCCCCCTCCCCGGCCCACTCCAGAGCACAGATGGAACAATGACACATGGTGTCTTCAACCCACAGAGCAAGGACATTAAAAATTCTCCCTCCCCCCATCCCAGTCCACACAGAGGTTCCGGAAGCATCCTTCGTAAAAAGGAATGCTGGGAATATCACTGCCCTCCGTATCAGAGCTCCCCCCAGACAGAGACCCCCCTACCTTCGGCTGTGCTCGCCGAGGAAAGGCCACCTTGGGGTCAATCTGAAAGAGAAGGGACCTTGGTTATCACACTTCAGATGGGTCACCGCACAGCCTTCAGGCCTGCAGACCACCTCTGGTCCCAGGACGCAGAGGTGACAGAAGCCACCGCAGCCTCTAGCAGGAAAGTGTAGTGATTAAGCACTTGGGCCCGTGAGCCAGGCTACTGGGTTCGAATCCCATGTAGACTGCTTCGCAGCTGTGAGACCTTAGGCAAGTTACTTAACCTCTCTGAGCCCCAGGGTCAAGCTCACCTGCAAAAGGGGCAAAGACTAACAACCACCTCAAAGGGTCATCTGCAGGTTATATTAAGAATGCTTACAAAGCACTTAGCATGGTGTCTAGCATACAGTGAGAACCTCAGAAAGTAAGCAAAGGCTTATTCCTTTAAGCACCAGCTATATCGAGGGCCTTGCCAGCTTAACTGACTTCACACAGATACCTGTCTAGGTGAGGCATGCAAATTCATACTTTTGAAGTCTTGCAAATGGAAACTCTTTGCTTCAAGATAAGAGTTCATAAACCACCAGCAATGAACTCAGTTGTTCCCCCGATACTATCGGCATCTAACAGTTCTCCTCGAGGGTGCAAACAAACAGCTCCCCGAGAATGCAGCTAGGCTCGGGGTGAAGCGGAGCCCAGGCTTTGGTGACGCGCAAAGGCACGGGACTTGGACTCAGAAATTCTGGGCCCCTGGCCAAGCCTGTGATCTTGGGAACCTACCTGGCCCCTCTGAACCTCAGTTCCCTCATCTGCAAAGTGGGGGCAATCACACCCACTTTTCCCAGGGGCAGCTGGGGGAAATCAAATGAGATAACGTGGGTGAAAGGGGCCCTTTGTGAACTGCCCTTCACTGCGCAAACAAAGGTGCTATTACCAGTGGGCTACCTTTGCCCTTGGCCATGAACAACCAGAGAGGAAAAGCAACATGCACGTGAGGATCCCTGAGTACTCTACCTGTACTTAGAGATGGCAAAAGACAGGGCGTGAGACATTCTGATCAACGCAGAGCCTATGAAGTCAGTCATTCCAGACTTTCTTGGCACCCACATGGGCGGACACCAGTCAGAAGGTCACCAGCCAATCGCAGGTGAGATCTATCTTTTCCCAAAGTTCCTTCTGTTCCAAACTCAGCCTCATGCAAGGCAACTGGCTCTGGCTCCTCTCTGCCTGAACAGCACAAGCCAGCGACCAGCCTCCTCCAGGATCCCCCACTGGAATTTGCCCACAGAGAAGGGACCTCCGAACGTCATCTGGCGCAGGGCCTCCTCTCTCCCCGAGTCCCAGTCGGCCCCAGGGAAAATCACAGCTACCCGCTTTCCCTGTCTGAAGGTGTGATTTTGTATCTACTGACAGGTTGTCCTCCTAGACCTCCTGGAAGCAGCCTCCCAGCCACACGGCACACCTCAGAGAGTCCCCTTGCACAGACCGCAGCAGGGGGATGGTGCCTAAGCCACGTCCCACAGACCCACAGACACCCCACCCCTGACACGCCCCAGCTCCGCTCTGACTCACAACTGGCAACGTAAATAAAACCCAACAAATAAATAAAAGGTGAAAGTCAGAACCTAAAATAGACTCCCCACCATAAACCTCCCTCCCACCACCCCTCACTCAGGCCGGAGAATGCCAAACACAAGGCCCTTGCCCTTGAGTTTCAAATCTCAAAAGGATGCCCCACTCGCCCTCCTTCCTCCCCTCTCACCCTTATCAATCCTCCATTCCCCCACGCCCCAGCCCCTAAATCACAGCTTCCTCAGCACTGCAGAAGCCATCAGTGCATTCTGAGGACAGGGGATGGTAGGAGAACAGGCAGCTTGATGGCAGATAATCACCAAAAACAATAGGCCACTGTCTCTCCATTCGCCGCTTGGGTCACTCAGTCTGAGCCAAGAAGATCCTTTCAGAGCCCGCAAAGTTGAGGCCTGGCCTCGTTTGCTCATTACTGGGAGCAGGAGTGGGAGCCACTAGGCAGAGATAACAGGAGCCGGGGACAGGCGGTAATTTAACAATTTCTTAGGCACAACCAGCTATTGTTGCAGGTAAACAGGAGCCAGTGACTGACCCAGGCAGGGAGGCCCAGGGCTGGAGGAGAGTGGGGGAGTGTGGAGAGAGATCACACTGTCCCGGGTCCCTGGGCAGATGGTCTCCTCACTCACAGGTCACCCCCATCACAGAGGACCCCCCTCCACCATGACTTTCTCCTTTTCCCTCTCCCCTTGAGCCAGGGCCTGGGCCAGAGCCCCCTGCGGGACCCAAGACCCATCGCAGCAGTAGGACAACAAACTGTTCCAGGACTTTGAATTGCAAACAAGCAGCTAAGATCTAGCCCTCAGAAGGGTTTTTCCAGGCAAGCTAGCTCCCTTCTCCTAAATCCCTTCCTGGGCCAAGCAGGTCTGGGTCTTCCACACAAAGCAAGGAGCTCATTGACCAAAAAGCAGGCGAGTGTGGTGAGGGGGTTCAGTGAGGCTCGGCCACTGGTCTGGAATGAGGGGGTGTCGCTGAGCCAAATACTAGTTGTAGTTCACAGAAGCCACGGGGTGGGTCTCTGTAGCCCTGACTCACTCAGTTTGGGCTAGGGGAGGGACCTAGCCCCACCCCAACCTCCTCTCTGAGGCGTGAAGATGAGCGTGTATAGGGAGGGGGCAGTAGCTGCTTCTCCCCTCACCAAGGCTGGACGGGTTGGGAGACACAGCATCTCAGGGCAGGCCTGGGTTTTTTCTCCTCCCTCGCCCGTCAACTCTAGTGACAAAGTTTCAGAGGCTGGCAGCCCTTCTACTCAGAAAACTCCCTTCTTCCTTAAGGACCCCGTCCAACTGTCCCCTGGGGAGAGTCCTGACCCTCTCCTCCGGCGGCCTCCCTCTCCCAAAGGACCCCCGAAGCCCCGAGGGCCACTCACTGTTTTGGAGTCGAGCTCGTGCCGCGATTGCGCCAGCACTTTATCCACCCCCGCCTGGTCCATGAAAGTGACGAAGCCGAAACCCCTGCGCGCCGTAGTGAGGGAGAGGCAGATGGTTACAAGGCAGTGAGTGGCGGTGGAGGGGGGCGAGCCAGGAGCAGGAGGAGGGGGTGAGGGGCTCACCTGGATCTCTTGGTCAGGGGGTCCCGCATCACCAGACACTCCTTCACCTCCCCGAACTGGCCGAAGTATTCGCGCAGCCCTTCTGTAACCACACACCCGCCTTCGGACCAGCCCGGGCCCCGCGCCCTTCCCCCCTCCCCCGTCCTTTGCCCCTGGTGACCCCGGCGCGGCCCCGCCGCCCCCGCGCCAAGCAGCCTGAGCGCTCCCCACTGTCCCCCCACCACCTCCAGCCCTCACCCAGCTCCCGTGGAGCCTCCTGGCGCCCACGGGGGCCCCAGGAAGCCGAGGGCCGAGCTGGGCTGGAGGGGGGACGGCTCCGGCCGGGTTCCCGCCGCTCCGGGAGCCGCCTCACAAAAGTTTGAGCCGCAGGTGCGAGCGGAGTTGGCGTTGCCGCCGGCGGGTCCCGGGGGCCCAGCCCACCCCCCGATGCCCCCTGAACCCCTCATCTCGTCCCCTCCACCCGCAGGGCCGTGCGCGCTTGGCGATCGCCCTGCACTCTCGGGGTCCCCGGGCGGGGCGCGAAAGAGAGCGCAGAGGCGCCCGGGGTCAGTAGGGCGCAGGGCCGAGCTGGGGTGTCCGGTTCCGGGGCGCCGGGGGTCCAGGGTGCCCTGCCGGGCCGGCGGGCGCTCCCGGGCTCGCTCACCCTGCGTAGTCTGCCAACTGAGTCCCCCGATGAACATCTTGCTGCGGGAGGAGGAGAGACACAAAGGGCCCGCGTGAGCGCCGAGAGCCGGGGCGCAGGGGGCGCGGGCCCGGGCCCCGGGGAGGCCCGGCCCGACCCGGATCGGCCATGTTGGCGGGGCCGGGGCGGGCGCGGGCCGGGCAGGCCGGGCCGGGCCGGGCCGGGCCGTACCAGGGGTCGTGCGGCGAGTCCGGGGAGGCGAGGCCGGGCTGGGGCGCGTCAGTCTCCATCGGGAGCCGCGGGCGGCGCGGGCAGTGCAGCGGCGGCAGCGGCGGCGGCAGCGCTCGGCGCGGGGCAGATGAGGTGCGCGGCGAAGGGGGCCGGACGGACAGGCCATGCTGCCCCCTCCCCCGACCCCGCTCGGGCGGGCGGGCGGGGACGGCCGAGGGGAGGGCCCGCCGGGGGCCGACCTGCCGGCTCCTCCCCCCGCCGCCCTGCGCGCATAAAGCCCCGCGCTCGCCGGCGCGTCCGGGCGCCCGCGGAGGCGGCGGCGCCTGGACCCTGCTCTCGCTGGGCTCCCGGGTCCCCGAGGGTGAGAGAGACCCCGAGTCTCGATGCGGGCTGGGACCTGGGCGCGGCCGCAACCCCCACCCACCCCAGCGCGGGGGCCGGGCCGCGGGAACGCCCTCCCGGAACGAAGCGCTTCCCGGTACCTTCAAGGTAGCTCGGCTCCTGATCGGGGACCCCCCCAGTCCTCCCTCTCAGGCCCCCGCTACCCCGAATCTGAGAGATCCTCAATGTCCCTGGGTCGGGAGGGAGAGGGCCTCATGTCCCCCAGGCCCCTCGCGGTGCATGGGGTGAGAATCCCTCCATCCTGCCAGTCGGAGCGACATGCGCCCTCCGAACCCCCAGTTGCCTCGGACCTAATTTAGGGTTCCCTCTCAGCGGCTTCCAGCCCACTCCCAGTGTCCCATATCCCTCAGATCCAACCCGGGGAGCCCTTTCTGCGCCTCGCGTCCCGAGTGGGGAGCCTCTCCCCTCACCCCAGTAGAAACCGTATCAGTTTCCCCAATTACTCTCCATCCCTTTCGGTCCCGAATGAGAATCCCCCTCAGCTCTCCCAAATCCCCTCCGTCCACAGAAGCCCTCCCGCCCCAAGCCTGTGTTCCCAGGTTGCTGCCACCCCCACCCCTAGTATGGGGGGGTCTCCACGGTTTCTCTCGCTCCCTGGCGCTGGTCCGCCCCCCGCAGACCACTGTCTGGGTTCGGTGAAGCCAGTTCCGTCCGCTCCCCGGCCCCTCCCCAACCAGTCCGGGGCAGAGGCCAGTGGCTCCCAGAGACTCCCTTTTCCAGTGTCGGAGCCCAGAGGCTCAGCGGCGCGCCTTCCCCCTCCGATGACCCCCTTGCAAGCCGCACCCCATCGGACTGCAAGAGCCTAACTGCCTGCCCACTGCGTTTGGAGTCACTTCTGTCTGTGCATCTACTGCTCCCGAAGGCCGAACACCTTCGGTTCGCCCTGCTGATCCCCAGGCCCCCATCTTACGGGTCTCTGAGGTCCCCCCGAAGGTTCCCTCAAGGCTTCTGGTGGCCATCTCGCCCCACGCGAAAACTCCCTTCTTCCAGCCTGGGAACCGAGGGCAAGTCGATGCTGGCTCGCCTTGGAAGCCGGAGGCGGCCCTCCCTGTCCCCATTTGGCCAAATCCATATCCTCTCCTTCATTTCCCAACCCGGAGTCAAATCAGGAGGCTGAGGCAGCCAGCCACGCCCTCCCTCGCCTGAATTCCCATCCCTGCTGGGGGTCTCAGGGCCACACTAGCCCCTCCCCCAAACTCACCTCCCACTCTTTCCCCTCCCCTGTCTACCTTGGATCCACCCCGCGTAACCCCGTGACACCCCTTGATGACATCCCATCGCTTCTCACCTTGACATCCCTTCTCCAGCCAGCCAGCTTTTATTAATGTGCAGGGCAGCTCCGGGCAACGCAGCCCTGACCTCTGGAAGGGTGCCCATTACCCCCCTCTTAGTGCACGTTCCCTCCGCCCACCCCAATCACCACACGTAGGAGAACGTGAGAAACTCAAGTTAATGGTTTCCTCCAGACCTTCTGGGAACACTCAGCAGGTATATCCTGCCCCCTGTGTGTGCAACACCATGCCAGCTTGCTTTTTCCTGTTTTCATGCTCCCATTGCCCCCACAGTTTCTCAGACTCCCCTGGACTCGGGTTAGGGGGGCTTCTCCCACTAGGCATGTCTCCATCTCAGTGCAAACCAGAGCATCAGGTGTGCCCCGGAAGAGACACCGGGGAAGGTCAGTAGGTAGCATCTTCAGTGCTGGGGAACTGACTATTCCTAGGTCTACACCTCCTGTTCCTTGTATGCAAAATGGAGCAGGTGGGGATGTGCAAGGAGGGGAGAACCTAGGTGTCCACGAGCCTTGGTTTGGGGGCTGGTGCCATTGGGCAGGTGGCCTGGAGGGTAGGAAATGGGTAAGGGTCATTGGTCCAGAGCCAGCCAAGCCTACGTGAGTAGTAGACTGGGATAGGATCCACTTATTAGTGTCCCCACTCGGGAGGAGGAAGTGTGTACTTGTCACCCCCCCCATCTGAAGCACAGTAGTGTTGGGGGGGACTTAACAGAAGTCACCTCCTACTGCAAGTTCATCTCAGCCTCGCTGCTTCCGGCCACTGGGTGTGCACCAGGGGCAAGGAGTCCTCCTGGGGACAGCCCTCACAGGACAGTGCGGCTGTAGATGCAGGATCCTCGCCGTAAACTGAGGGTCTCAGCGGCGTTCAGGTTGCTGAACCTGCCATCTTCGGGGCAACTGGCCCAGACTCCAGAATTCAAGCATGAGAGGATGTGGTTCCGGTTCTTTCTGTCCAGTGCTCCACGCACTGAGCACCACTCACAGAATGAGAGAGTAACTTGCTTTATAGGGTTGGGTTTTTTTTTATATTTTATTTATTTATTTTTAGAGGGGAAGGGAAGGAGAGAGGGAGAGAAATATCAATGTATGGTTGCCTCTCGTGCATCCCCTGCTGGGAACTGGCCTGCAACCCAGGCACATGCCCTGACTGGGAATCAAACCGTGATCCTTTGGTTCGCAGGCCCACACTCAATCCACTGAGCTACAACAGCCAGGGCGATAGGTTTTTTTTTTTTTTTTTTTTTAATCTCTTCAAGAGTTGCCTCTTGAAGGGCAACTCTTAATGCCCGAGTACTAAGATGTGACTTGGCACATTTATTCCCTCCGCAAATATTTACTGAACGCCTGCTGCCCAGTGGACACTATCTTCAGCACTGTATTCCTAGCACCTATCTTTGTGAAGCTTGCTTTCTAGAGGCAGGAGTCAGATGATAAATAAATAGGTAAATAAGTAAGTAAGATGTCAGTTAGATGTTGGTAACTGCCTTGCAGAAGGAAGGGGGATAGGGAGGGTGGGAGGTGTGGGGGAGAAGGTGAGATGCAGTGTCACATCAGACAAGTTCACATGGGGCGGGGTGATGTTTTAGCAAAGACTTGAAGGAAATGAGGTGCATGAATCTACTGTACTATCCAGAATGCTCACTTAAGCAGAACGTCTGCCTCTCTTGAGTGCAGTGCTAATTGATATTCACAATTTGACTTTTCACTGCTCTAAAAACAATGGTTCCCCAAACTTCATGTGCTTAAAATATCACCCAGTGATTTTTCAGCAGACACAGGGTGAATGGGGGCTCTGAAAACTGCTTAAAAAAAAAAAAGCAAACAAGCCCCTCTATCAGATGAAGCTGATAGCTGAGGCTTTCCCTGGACCACTCTTAAAGAAACACTGCTCCAAAATAAAGTCTCCTAGACTGACAACAACAACAACAACAACAACAAAATTATAGGTAAATTATAGTCTATGTGGTTTTAGTGTTGAGAGTATTTCACTGTGTTCTCATTCTTTGAAAATGCAGTACCCAAGCAAAACTCTGGATTACCCAGAACATCCCATTTCTTGTCCAAGCAGGAGAAGGGAGAATTGATCATAACCTGGTTAGGAGCCAAACACATATAATCAGTCTGTTTTCACCCTCCCCCCATCTGGTCCTAATGTTTTTAATACTCTTTCCTTTTCCCAAATTTCTGAACACAACCAGCAAGTGAATGGCTGGGGTAATGAAAGCACTTGACCGAGAGACAATAGATTCACCACCACTGTTTCTGGTTGAGTCTAGAGAAATACCACTCAGCTTTCCAAGCTTCCGTGTACTCACAGAGTAGGACTTGCCGAAAGACTTGAGTGAGATCACGTATTTGAAAGCAACCTAAAACCTCTAAAGCATTCTGGAAAGGAAAAGAAACTCTTTGTGCTTTTGCAGATCCAGTGAGTTTGGTCTAATTTAGTACGGTTACCTTCTAGACAGGGTGGCAGTGGTAGCAAGATATACATATAGATCAATAGAATTAAGAGTCCACAAATAAATCAGTGCCTTCAAAAAATGGTGTTGGGACAACTTGGTAGCCATATGCAAAAGAATGAAGTTGTACAGCTACTTCATACCATGTACAGACACCAACTCAAAATGGATCAAAGATCTAAATGTAAGAGCTAAAACTTTAAAAAGAAAGATCGATCAACTGGACATCATTAAAATTAAAACCTTTTTGTGCTCCAAAGGACACTGTCAAGAAAGTGAAAAACAGCCCACAGAAGAGAAAAAAAAAATTTTGCAAACCATATACTTGATGAGGAACTTGTATCTGGAGTATATAAAGAAGTCATACAACTCAATAATAAAAAGGTATATTATCTGATTAAAAATGGGCAAAGGATCTGCAAAGCCATTTCTCCAATGAAGATATATAAACACCCAATAAGCACACGGAAAAATGCTCAGCATGATGAGCCATAAGGAAGTGCAAGTCAAAACCACAGTGAGATACCAGTCTATACCTCCTAGGACGGCTGTGTCATAATAAAAAAGGTAGATAATAACAAGCATCGGTAAGGAGGTGGTGGAATTGCGACCTTTATATGTTGCTGGTGCAACACCATGGAAAACAGTCTGGAAAAGCAGGTCCTCGAAGGTTAAACGTAGCATCACCCTATCACCTAGCAATTCCACTCCCAGGTATATACTCCAGAGACATGGAAACATGTCCACACAAAAACCTGTACGTGAAGATTTGCAGCAGCGTTGTTCATAACAGCTAAGAAGTGGGAACAACCCAAATGTGCATCACCTCTATACAACGGAGTGTTGTTTGGCCATAGAAAAGAATGCATTAGTGGTACCTGCTACAGCACAGGTGCACCTGGAAAATATTACGCTAAGTGAGAGAAGCCGGAAATGAAAGGCCACATATCGTATGACTGCGTTTACACGAAATGCCCACAGTAGGCAAATTCACAGAAACAGGAATAAACGGGTGGTCGCCTGGGGCTTGTGTGTGGAGG